GTGTTAACACTGTAAACTTAGAGGCGTTCACACCAAGTTCTTTTCCCACAATAGTTCATGAGAACTCTTTTAGTTCTGATGAACTAAAGCAGATCGCGTTCACACCACAATCAGTCCCTGGGGGTGGATTAGGCAAATTAAGCCGCTGATGTCACTTCTTCTTCTTCAGCTTTGAGTTTACTGGCAGGCCGCAAACAACTTCACGGCGAGTACAGTAGGTTGCGGTATGCACCTTAAAGTTGCAATCCACCAAGAAACCGAGAGAAGAAGAAGAAGAAAAACTTCCGCTGTATATGATGCGTCTGTTTACCTTCCGACCTCAGACATGATGGAGTTGACTGAAGTTGTTTTGGTGCTCGTGTTATACAGCTTCGTAACTGAGTTATTTTAAATTACAATAGTGCAGACACACCTTAGCGCAAAGATAAAATGTCAGTATCAAAACAGTGTGGCAATATAATAACAAACTGTGCCAGGTGTGTCGTATGCACAGTAAATAGGCTCAGCAGTTAACACACCTTTATTATATATCCTCCTGAGAGCAACTGCATCCGTCTGCCATGAACCCTACAGAAACCTACGTGTTAGTTTTGGCCCATAGTGGACTCCATTTTGTGTTGTGTAAAATGGAGGAAATAAAAAGTTAGCAAATCCCCATGTCCTCCTCAGAGGACATTCATAAAAACATTTAGTTTTAGGTCAAATAATTATTACATTGCTCTGAAACTCACTACACTAACTCCTAAGAGGTTCCCTTACTATAATTAATAAAACATATTGAACTCACAACACTCACAACACTGGTAATCACTTACATGTGATGTATAGGATGCTACACAGGTCACTGTAAAGATAAAGTATCAGAGGAGAAATAAGCAAGATACAGGATCTGTTTAATCGCCATGTAGGTTCTCTTTTATTTATCAGCAGCAGATCAATAAGTGTCAGGAGTATCAAAACAATATAATAACAGTGGCAATATATATATAATAACAATAATAGGTAGGCTCAGCAGCAGACCTTAGTGCAAAGATAAAATGGCCGTATCAAAACAGTGTGGCTGTTAAGATCATTGTACGGATTGCGGAAAAGGTAGGACCCAAAAGCAGACTACAAAAAGGGTAAAGGTCTATAAACAAAAGCGAGCTTTATTACAAAAGCTGATGACAAAAAACCATGACATGAAACAAAACGAAAGCACAAGGAAAGAACATACCGAAGGACTGACTTGGAGGGCGACAGGAAAAACAAACAATTAACCGACGGGGAACACACAAAGAGACTAAATACAGGGAGGGGTAATCACGAGACGAGAAACAGCGGGCAGGGAAGGAGAAACACAAGGGCAACAGGTGAACACAATCAGACACACCAGGGAAACTAATGACAGGGAGGAAAACACAGGGAGAAGGACCAGACAAGAAACAAGGAGGAAAACATGAAACAGGGAGAAAAGAACAGCAAAACAAAACCCATTACCAGACACACAAAACTAAAACCGTGACATAACACCAAGATCGTGACAGTGGCAATATAATAACAAACTGTGCCAGGTGTGTCGTATGCACAGTAAATGGCTCAGCAGTTAACACACCTTTATTATATATCCTCACTGTAAAGATAAAGTGTCAGAGGAGAAATAAGCAAGATACAGGATCTGTTTAATCGCCATGTAGGTTCTCTTTTACCACTTGCTGGTCTTCCGACCGTTACCACTCTTGTTGTTGTGGTCTTTTATTTTTTTGTAGTCCTGCTTCAGTTTCTTTATTTTGTCCCGGCATGACTTAGCGCTGTGGACGATTCCCATGGCCGTTAACTTTACCGAAATACAGTCGCACATTTTCGCGTTGGAAACTGCCTTCAGTAGAAGTCTCTGGATCGCGTCGTCCGAGTAAATCTCCAGAAGCGCCGACATATCATCATAACTCCACCGCTCCGCTGATTTATTTGGTGTTGCCATAAATGCTTTCACAAAAGTCATCTCTTCGTTGGTGTGCTGCGCTGATATTTTAACAGTTTTAATACGAGCAAATACAATGGCGGCTTCCAAAACCTTTTCAGAGATTTACGGGGCGTGGTTTGCAATCCGCCCAGCCAATCAGAAATACGAACCCTTTTCTCCCACGAAAGTCCCTGCTCTCTAGCAGGGACTGAAAAGGGGGTAAAAATGGTTCTGATGAACTAATTTAGTTCAGGGGGCTTTTTGGTGTGAACGCAAATATATCTGAGTTCTGATGAACTATTGTGGGAAAAGTACTCCGGTGTGAACGCGCCACTTGACAGTTTTTTAACCCGCACCACCTAGTGGTTAAAGCACGTTATTGCATTTTTTTGTTGAATATGATTTGATGAAAACATAAAAATATTAAGAGTACATACAAATTAGGGGGCAGACACCCTATCTGTTTTTAAGAGTGCGCTTAAGACCTTCCTTTTTGATAAAGCTTATAGTTAGGGCTGATTAGATTCAGCCCCTAGTTTTGCTGATATAGGCTTAGTTTGTCGGGGGACATCTTACTTCTTCCTTCTCTATGTCTATACCTGTGTACTCTCATGTTCCGATTAAGCCAGCTTCCCCAAATGTATTTCTTTTTGGTGTCTATATACGCCGGGATCCGGAGTCATGGATGATCCTGTTGCTGCGGTCCCGTGTCCTGGATCGCGAGCCCTGGATCTTGAGTCGTGGATCGTGAGCCCTGGATCTTGAGTCATGGCTGTGCCTGTTGCTGTGGTCCTGGATCATAGGTCCTGGATGGATATCCTCGTGGATTCATCTTCCTATTATACACACATGCATTTCCAAACATTTGAACTACCTATGTTGCAAATGTATTATCTTTTCAATTTACACATGGCATCTATTGCACGTCTGTCCGTCCTGGGAGAGGGATCCCTCCTCTGTTGCTCTCCCTGAGGTTTCTCCCATTTTTCCCTTTAAACTGTGGGTTTTCTCCGGAAGTTTTTCCTTGTACGATGTGAGGGTCTAAGGACAGAGGGTGTCGTATTGTCATACTGATATTCTGTACAAACTGTGAAGACCACTGAGACAAATGTAACATTTGTGATATTGGGCTATATAAATAAACATTGATTGACTGAGAACCACTAGGAGGTGCGGGTTAAAAAACCAGTGGTGTAAAACATAATAATATCAAACACAATATGACTATTAACTTTATTGTGAAATTAAAACAAAACGGTAAAGGAAAATACAGTTTCAGTCTCTCGATTTGAAGCTTATGCATTGTACCATGAACCTGTATAAACCTGTAACAGTCAACTGCATGAGGAGTTGGAAAGGTAGTAAATAATATCTTTAAAAACTACAAAAAAATCCCTTTCCATCAGCTGTGCACCGTTATGGTGTAAATACAGCCTATCTACCAATTGGATCAAATATAAAAGTCAGCCGAATTAGTGTTGATACTGTAAGGAGACTTATTGTGTGAAAATAAATGGAAGATGTTGTTTAATTGAAAGACATTTTTGAAAAATACTTTTATTAATCCCTCGTGGGGAAATTATTTATCTGCATTTGACCCATCCTAGTGTTAGGAGCAGTGTGCTGCCATTTTGAACGGCGCCCGGGGAGCAGAGTGGGGAACAGTGCCTTGCTCAGGGGCACCTCGGTAGCACTTGGTCTTGCCGGGTGACCTTCCAGTTGCCAAGCCAAGTCCCTATCGACTTCGCCACCATCGCCCTTGCTAATATATTTATGATCCACGTCACGTATTCAGTTTTGGCGGCATTTCTTACAGTTTGTCAAAAGGTCTTCTGATCAGGGCTCTATAAATAAATATCTACAGCAGATATGTAATATTTAATGCAGCCGAACCGTGTATTACAATGCCGTTATGTGATGACTTCCAAAGAGAAAAGCAAGAACACTCGGAATAAAGTATTATTATTTATTTTTTTAAATCCCGATTTCATATCATATAAACACCATATCCCGACATGCATTGCGGCTAAAACAATCAATGTTTTAGCCTATCAAAAAAGAAAGGTGTCTCTCTGAATCGAAAGAGAAAAACCAATGGGAAAAACACAAAAGCATTGTACACAATTTAAACCAATAAATGTCGTATAATTAACAAGGATAAACTGATGTTTTTTAGTGGATGAGTACTGCAGATATCACTGTTAAATCATTGGCTTTATTATGAAAACGTCGAGACCGGAAATACTGTTTTCAACCCGTAACTTTACATGGAGGATGCCGCATACCTCAAATCATCTTCGTAATATCTATCAAACTATAGATCCTACATATCAACTGGACGTGAATTCTAAAAGTACAATATACACTTCTCGCTAGAAATCTAATCAAAAAGCGTTTTAATGGCCAAACTATCCTACAATTTAGGATTTTACAGAGAGGGTTATTTGTGAATAAACAACCATCTGTAACGTTAGCATTCAACGGGAGCACTAGAGGGCGAAAACTTTAAAACGTAATTATAGGTCGTATTAAGCGCTTGAACAAACGACCTATTTGGTCGTAATAAGGGCCTGAACAATCAGCCCATTTTGTCGTATGAATTGGAGGACTTGTTGCTCCATTTACATCAGGACAGGAGAAATTCCACAAACCCTCAATCGCACACTAAAAACCCACCTGTTTTGCTTGCACTGTGGTCATTAAATAAAAAGAAAATTAAATAACAAAGGAAGAAGTAATATTGCTTCACCATCTTATGCAAGTGTGCTTTAAGGGTGGTAATTGGTAATGTCAAAATATGTTACAATGAATATCTACAACTTAAGTTACCCTAAGCAATAAAGTGTAGTTGGTACAGTAGCAAAACCTCAAACCGGACATGTACGTAATCGTCTAGACTTCTATTCTGAATGTCCTTCGTACACTAAGACATGTTGTGGTTCAAATCTGGATTTGTTTATCTGTGCCAAAGAGTAGTTTGCATGTTTTTTCCTGTTTAATTATGTGTGCACATAATTGAAGTATGAATAATGGCTTTTGCCAGGTATGGACGATGAAATTAAACACCAATACATTCATTTATTAAAACACCAGGGTATGACAATGACAACACTTAAAAAAGGGCACTTCACCAGTTATCTGCCCAAGTTAACCCCTTTCTACTTGCGTGTAAATACAATTAATGATTTAAAGAAAAAAAGAATAGTATCAAACTTTACAGCATTGCTCTAAAAATCCACACAACACACATACATACATGTACGCACACAATCACAAAAAAGTCTCTGGTGTAGTGCTTAGGTGTTGGTGCTGCGTGTTACACTACTCTTAGTAGATGGATCTCCTTTCTTTCTCAAAGACATCACGAACCACAGGAAGATGAAGAAACCTGCGTTGAAGGAGTGACACGAAAAGTGTTAGAGAGAGCGAAGGAGGTCGTGTTTCCATCAGACATTCACAGTAGGAGAGCCCCAAATTGCCCTGAATGGTCTGGCTTGGATCAAGTATTAAAGTCCCTGCTCTTAACCACTTTTTTTTTGTATCAGCTTTCTGTATTTATTAAAGTGTCATACTGTTGTACCCCATCCTAAATGTAAACCCAAGAGGACCAACTTTGCATACAAGTGTCAATCAAATATACAACCAATATTAACGTCATCACATAGAGCTGAACATGATCAGGTGGTGCAGACCTTGCAGTGAGTTGAGGATGCAGAAGAGGTAGAGGCCAGGCGTGGTCAGGTAGCCAAAGGAGAAGAAGACCAGGCCCCAGGTAATGCCCAGCAGAGCGGTGACTCCCAGCAGCGTACAGATGTCCTTCTTGGCTCTGTTACTGTCACTCTGCCCAAACTGACTCACAAAACAAAGTTTAAAATGACACATCAGCAGGTCATAGAACATTGGAGAGTACGTACCATGAAGTTCATATTGTTGAGTAGAGGGAAAATCATAACTGTTTTTAAGTACAATACACAAGAAAATACTGCTTTCTTTAATTTGTTTAAAACTGTGCCCCCAGGAGTCAATATGACATGTTTTCTTCTAGAAGGTGTGTATAAAAGAGAAAACAATGTTTAGGTTGCATGCAAATGATCAGAAATAAATACAGTGTGTGTTGATTGTAATAAAGGAATATGTCATCCACTACAAGAGTGGGGCTCATTGAGTGTTTTTAATAGCTTTTGGACATCAATGTAGCTCTTTGACACAGAGGACTCAATTATGTCAGGCTTTAAATGTACACACAATGTTTGTAAGAACATTGATTCAATAGAATTGTGCAGGAATGAGTCTTCCACCTAAAAAACAAGTTAGCATTTTACCAGCATTTTGTCTGTGGTTAACACAAGCTGGAGGGACTTTTACATTTTGTCCTAGGATGTTAAAGTTGTCAGTAAATACCCCACTGGTGAATGTCTGATGCTTCTATGTTACATCAAAATTAAGGTTGCTAACAAGTGACTAAAATGACTACTAAATGTGGTCACGTTGAACAGCAGCTGCTCTTAGCTTAGCGAAGGTAACAGGAAGCCATGCGACTGTGGAAAAATTCAAATGTATTTTTGGCGTGGGAGCCCTTACATGCTAACTTCTGGGTCGGCCTCCAGAAATACATACAATACAGCTTTATTTATAAAGCACTTTAAACCTCCAGACCAAAGTGCTGTACAGTCAAATAAACAAAACAAAACATAAAATACAGCTCACACACCATAAAACAAGTACAAGTAAAAACAATAGACAATTTAAAAGCAATAAAAGCAACACTCTAAAAGATGTCAATACACTATGGAGAAGAGGTGGGTTTTAAGAAGCGATTTAAAAAGCAGACAGTTTGGAGGCCTGTCTGATATGCAGGGGCAGATCGTTCCAGTGTGGGAGCCGCTACAGAGAAGCAACGGTCCCCTCTGAGCTTTGACTTGGTTCTGGGCACATTCAGGAGCAGTTGATCAGCTGACCTGAGAGGGCGGTTGGGCGTGTTGATTCAGTAGTGCAGATCAACACTGCACTACTGTAATGGTTGTTAGTTTGGATGGGATACACCAACAGCTAAAGCTTTATGGAATTAACTGGAATCCTCCTTTAAGAGCATATTTACAGAAAAGTAGAGTAGAATGCAAAGAGTGCAGGTTGAGTCCTACCATTTTGCTCTGGTGGAGACTCACAACGCTTCTTACTGTCACCCCCAACATGATCGCGTTAAAGAGGAAAACCAAGCCAAACACTCCAAATGTAGTCACCAGCTTCACTGTGGTATTCCCTATATAGCATCTGCAAAGAGAAAGAAAGAGTATAGATGAAGGTTTTCTCTAATAAATCGAAACCTCTTCGATAAAAAAAAGCATATATTCAGGTGACTAATAATTCTGGACCTCCTCCTTGTAGGCTAACTTATAGATGTCGCTGATAAGGCCAACCATATTGGTGTCATCTGCAAACTTAATAATGGCGTTGGAACTATGCACAGGAATGCAGTCATGGGAGAAAAGGGAGAAGGAGAATGAGCTGAGCACACAACCCTGTGGAACGCCGGTGTTCAGGGTCAGAATGGAAGAAGTGAGGTTATTTAACTTCAAAGACTGGGGTCTGTTGGTCAGGATGTCCACTGTCTAGTTGCAGAGGGAAGTGCTGATGTCAAGATTCCCACGTTTGATACACTATATGAACTGTAGGGGATGAATATGTTGAATGTGGAGCTAAAAACAATAAATAACATCTTAGTAATAATACATTGTATTTCTTAAGCGCTTTATCAGGTGCTGAAAGACACTTTACCGTGGTAAAAATAATATCATTTAAAATACTGATGGTTATCCTCTTCAGGCACGTGGGACAGAGATATTTACGTACTGTACGAAAAACGACTTTGGATAACCTCACACAAAACGTGTGAGGTTATCTAAAGACGTAATTTGTCCAGTTTATTTACCAAGGACTGAAAGTTGGCAAGTTAAATGCTAGGCAGAGGTTGTTTGTGGGGTTTTAGCTTTAACCTAGCCTAGCCCGTGGGACTGCTTTGCCTTTGCCTTTGTTCCAGTCTTGTCGCCACCGTTTTCTTCCTGTCAGCGAGACTGGTTCCCTGGGCTTTGGTGCCCTGGCTTACTCCGGTGGTAGCTGAACGTTGTTTACAAAATGTAAGTTACACAGAGAACTAAGGTTCAAGAGTTATTGTCAGCTATACAACGTATACACACAGCTTAGCTGTGTGAACAAACTTGAAACTAGTAAGAGGTAACTACTAATTCTCAGAAACTGGAGAGACTCAGAGCCTCATATAGTGCACGCGCCATCCTAAGTATATTTTATGTGAGAGGAGGCTGGAATGTAAAAGCAACAACTACACTGTATTTATCTTGCCAATCACTTGTATACAATCAAGCCTAACATATTGAATCCACTGTTAAGGAAATAGAACATATCAGTATCCAAGCTATTATTTCCGTACATTCATTATAACTGTATGTCACTGTAAATGGTGTTTTTGCAACCTTTCCCATTACATTCTAATAGACAGAAATGCTAACGCACATTCAAAACAATTAATATAATTAGTTACCTATTAGTTGAAATTGTACATGCTTGAAAATGTGCTTCTCCCTTACATTTGTGTGCTGTTGGGGTTAGAAGAGACCAGAGGGACGGGTCCATACGAGCTTATGTCAATGATGACCACCAGGGCCACAATGACTGCAGGGAGACCTGAAACACAAGCATTAGACAAGACATTGGAACGTTTTTAAAGTATTATACTTGAAATAATATTATTTAAATAATTATTTAAAACAAAGTATGATGGATAACTAATTTTATCAGAATCATCAAATACGAATACTTTATTTATCCACAGGGTAATTGTGACACCATCTTAGAATACAATTGTGACAATGGTGAGGATATCAGAAGATAAATGCAAAATCGGGGGATGGGAGGCAGGTATATATGTATACAAAATAAGCAAACTATATTAAATATGCTGGCACAAAACAGTTACATAAAAATGAAAGAGCAGACAAGGTAAAACCAAAGGAAACTTAGTAAAACAAAAATGAGTGACAAACCAGCAAGACACAGGAGGGAGGAACATACAGAATACAGACAGGAAACCAGGAACTGTGATAGGCTGAACCGAACCGGGGAAACATTGATGACAAACTGTCAGAGAACACAAGGGAAGACGGGCATATATATTCTCACAAGACTAATCACAAAGACAAGACACAGCTGGGGAGGGCATGCAAACACAAGAGATAGCAGGAAAGAATAATTGGACAATCAAATAGGCGGGTAAACACAGAGACAGGAAGTAAAAACAAGACACAATGACAAAATACGTTTAAAAATAAAACAGGAAACAAAATAAAAGCAGAATCAGATGTTGCCACCTGTTGATACCTGGCCTTTGCGTTTGCGACTCTACTCACCCCATCCCACCAAGCTGAGCTTGAGCAAGTATTTCCGGATATAAATGTTGAAGACTCTGACTAAGAGAAGGTAGAGGTGTAAGCCCTCCAGGGCCATCCAGCTGAAAGTGGCCAGCAGGGAGTAGTGAAGAGAGACGGCCATGTAGAAGCAGAGCCCGGTGGAGGACGATGCTGCCACCGTCTGGCTGGGGAGGAAGTGCAGGTTGAGGAGGATCAGGGCAATGGCCAGGTTGATGTGGACCCTCATAGAGATATCTGCTCGGACTTTTCTGGAGGAGAATTGTTCCGTGGTAAGTGTTACATTTGTATTTTGTTAAAGGATTTCATGACATATATGGGAAGAAAAGGGACAAAATATGATAATAAAGGAGTGAGAAAAGAACATTGCATTTAAAAGTAAGTAAGAAATAAGGCTAAAATGTACAAGTTAAAGGGCCCATGTCTTGGCCATTTCTACTGATCATAATTTCATTGTTGAGGTCTACTAGAATAGATTTACATTGTTCAATGTTCCAAAATCACATTGGTTTCTCATACAGCATCTCTGTATAGTATGTTCATCCTCTGTCCTACACGCCTTGTTGGAGCTCCTGCTCCCTGCTCACTGTGCTCTGATTGGTCAGCTCACCCACTCTGTTCTGATGAGTCCACCACCGTTACGGCGGAACATCAGTGGTTATGTGTTACAATGGCGTTTGTTAGCAACCAGGAAATGACACCAGTAATGACAAACAGATGAGAATGCTGCGTTGGGTCTGGGTGCCGTGTTGGCGGGACGTTGCGGGGATCGCTGCTCCGCCCTTTGGGGCTCGAGGAGCCGACAGTGTGAGGTGGATTACTGGTGTCGTTTCCTGGTTGCTGCGTGGGGTCTGAGCACCGCGGCTGAGAAAAGATAAGGCTGAGTGAGTGTGTGTGTGTGCGGAGCTCCGCGGACCAATTGGTCCATTTGGACTCAGTGACGTCAACCTGCCCCGCAAGAAAAAAATGGAAAAATAAAAATCTCCAACGAGGCGTTCTGGGGCAGCATAGACAGGTCTTTTCTGTGTTAGAGTTTTACTCGCTACAGGGTGTACTTTGAGGGTTTGTGACTTTGCAGACCGTTTACATGCAGAAAAAGCTACATAACTGTCACGGTTCTCATGTTATGTCACGTTTGTAGTTTTGTATGTTTGGGTGTTTGCTGTCATGTTTTCCTCCTGGGTTATTGTCTGGTCCTTTTCCCTGTGTTTTTCCTCCCGTCGTTAGTTTCCCTGGTGTGTCTAGTTGTCTGATTGTGTTCACCTGTTGTCCTTGTGTTTCTCCTCCCCTGCCCGGCTGTTTCTCGTCTCGTGATTACCCCTCCCTGTATTTAGTCTTGTCTCTTCCTGTGTTCAGTGTTGGTTCGTCTTTTGTTGGTGACTGAGTTCACCGGTGAGTGTTCTGTTTTGTCTGTGTTAGTTTCATTATCCTTGAAATAAAGGTTTATCAGAGTTATCTGCATTTGGGTCCTGCTTCCTTCACTCAACCGTGACAGTTAGTTTAATTATCCTTGAAATAAAGGTTTATCAGAGTTATCTGCATTTGGGTCCTGCTTCCTTCACTCAACCGTGACAGTTAGTTTAATTATCCTTGAAATAAAGGTTTATCAGAGATATCTGCATTTGGGGCCTGATTCTTTCACTCAACCGTGACAGTACGAACCAACCAGAAATGGACCCAGCAGATGATCCATTTGAGGTGGAACTACAACATGTTTCCTTTTATTTGGCTTGCTGCTATGATTGGTGGAAGGGAGCGTCCAGTGTTCTGCAGAAGGAGGCCGCTCTGGTAGAGGCGCACCGGTTGGCTATGGAGAAACCAGACTTGGTGAAATTCTTACCTGGCTGGATTTTGAACTTCCTCTGGGTGTGTGATTTCCAGCCTGCTGAATACAAACGTCTCGGTGTGTTCCGTCTGGAGTCAACCAGTGCTTCTGCCCCAGTTCCTGCTCCTGTCCAGGAGTCGTTTTCTGGAACTCGTCTGGCTTTTGGAGGTCCACGGAGCCTTCAGGCGGCTTCTAAGAGAAGGAGTCGCAAGTCCAGGCTAGCAGCCCGAGCCCCAAGAGCCATGATTCCGGTCCCAGTTCTGGCCCCAGCGGCCATGGTTCCGGCCCCAGCAACCATGGTTCCGGCCCCAGTACCGGGCCCAGCAGCAATGGTTCCGGCTCCAGAACCGGCCCATGCAGCCATGGTCCCAGCCCCAGTCCTGGCCCCAGCAGCCATGGCTCCGGCCCCAGCAGCCATGGTTCCGGCTTCAGTACCGGCCCCAGTAGCCATGGTCCCAACTCCAGTTTCGGCTCCAGGACTGGCTCTCCGGCCGACGCCAGCTCCCCGTGTCCTGTCGGCGTACCGGCCGACTCCAGCACCTCGTCTCCTGTTGGCTCTCCAGCCGACGCCAGCTCCCCGTATACTGTCGGCGTACCGACCGACATAAGTCCCCTCTCAAGTTCCCTCTGAAGTCCCCTCTCAGGTCCCCTCTCGAGGCTCTTCTCGAGTCCCCTCTCAAGACCCTTCTCAAGACCCCTCTCAAGTCCCCTCTCAAGTCTCCTCTCCAGTTCCCTCTCAAGTCTCCTCTCGAGCTACCTCTCAAGTCACCTCTCAATCCACCTCTCGAGTCACTTCTCAAGTCTCCTTACAATTCAACTCTCAAGTTCCTTCTCGAGTCATCTCTCAAGTCTCCTCTCCAGTCTCCTCTCCAGTCTCCTCTCAAGTCTCCTCACGAGTCCACTTTCAAGACACTTCTCAAGTCCCCTCTCAAGTCTCCTCTCCAGTTCCCTCTAAAGTCTCCTCTCGAGTCCCCTCTCAAGTCTCCTCTCGAGTTCCCTCTCAAGTCCCCTCTCGAGTCCCCTCTCAAGTTCCCTCTCAGGTCCCTTCTCGAGTTCCCTCTCGAGTCCCCTCTCGAGTCTCCTCTCGAGTTCCCTCTCGAGTCTCCTCTCGAGTTCCCTATCGAGTCCCCTCTCAAGTCACCTCTCAAGTTCCCTCTCAAGTCTCTGTTCAAGTTCCCTCTCGAGATCCCTCTCAAGGCACCTCTCAAGTCACCACTCGAGTCCCCTCTCAAGTCCCCTCTCGAGTCTCCTCTCAAGTCCCCTCTCGAGTCTCCTCTCGAGTTCCCTCTCAAGTCCCTACCCAATGTCCTGTGCCGTTGGAGGCCCCGCCGTCTACTCTTCTGCCGGGGGTCCTGCCAACCCTATGTCCTGTGCCGTTGGAGGTTCCGCTGGGGGTCCTGCCAACTCTATGTCCTGTCCCGTTGGGGGTCCCGCCGACTACTCTTCTGCCGGAGGTCCTGCCAACCCTATGTCCTGTGCCGTTGGAGGTCCCGCCGACTACTCTCCTGCCGGGGGTCCTGCCAACCCTGTGTCCTGTCCCGTTGGGGGTCCCGCCGACTACTCTTCTGCCGGGGGTCCTGCCAACCCTATGTCCTGTGCCGTTGAAGGTCCCGCCAACTACTCTCCTGCCGGGGGTCCTGCCAACCCTGTGTCCTGTCCCGTTGGGGGTCCCGCCGACGACTCTTCTGCCGGGGGTCCTGTCAACCCTATGTCCTGTTCCGTTGGAGGACCCGCTGAGAGTCCTGCCAATCCCATGTCTTGTTCCGTTGGAGGTCCCGCCGTTACCTGTCTCGCCGGGGGTCCTGCCAACTCCTGGTCCTCTTCCGTTGGGGATCCTGCCGAAGCCTGTCCCACCGGCTCTGGTTCCTGTCCGGCCGACACCGGGTCCTGCCCGGCCTCCGGAGCTGTCCCGTCAGCGCCTTCCTGCCCGGCCTCCGGAGCTGTCCCGTCAGCGCCTTCCTGCCCGGCCTCCGGAGCTGTCTGGTCTTCGCCCTCGAGCCCGGCCCCCTGAGAGCCGCGGTCTTCGCCTTCGAGCCCGGCCCTCTGAGAGCCGCGGTCTTCGCCCTCGAGCCCGGCTCCCTGAGAGCCGTGGTCTTCGCCTTCGAGCCCGGCCCCCTGAGAGCCGCGGTCTTCGCCCTTGAGCCCGGCCCCCTGAGTGCCACGGTCTTCCTTCAATCAACCGTGACAATAACACACAAGGGTAATAACCAGAAATGCATATGATTGGACCTTTAAGAAACAACAGTAAGAAGTTGTCATACAAGGGAGGAAAAAGGGAGCCCAGGAGCAGAATAAATTATGGAAGCAAAGACAGAAGCATGCTGCTGGATCTGAGCGTTATGTTAGATGGTGGACTGAAGGTAAAGATGGATGAAAGACAAATATCATCAACATGGGAAGACATTTCTTTTTTGTACCTTTTTGCGATGAAGAGCAGAACAGTGATGATCAGGGCAAACAGAGAAAGACTACAACCAATCAGAGTGATGTATGTCAGAATCTGCAGGTCGTTTTGAGAGAGGGAGTCAGAAGATACCTGAGGAGAAAGGACAACATTACAAACATTGTTACTGATTAAACGAGACCCTTCCCTAAACCAAAATATCATGTATGTCGACTATCCACTATATTTACAGTACACTGCTTTTTTTGAATTATGACAAGGACAAGCCTACCATGAGCACGCCAAAGTATGTGAGGTGGTCACAGGAGCAGATGATGTTTCTCTGACCAGGTTCCCACAGAGTCAGACAGCCATCAGTGCTAAAGTCTGCCAGGTCAAACAAACGTAGACAGACAGATCCATTATATGAGAGATCCTGACACATGGGAGTTAAAACCCACTTTGTTGGTCATGTGTAAACTTTTCATATTCATTATAAAAATTAAATAAAAAACTTGTCTTTGTTTTTCACACTCACCTTTTGTGAAAACATTTAAGAACACACAGCTGGGCTTTTGCGTATCCTGTGACACAACACAAGAAAAAGTTTACACTATTGTTTGTTCGTTTGTGTGTTCCTATCTACTTAAAATATTTGAGATGAGAAGTTGTAGTTACATTCACACTAACAGCCAATGTGATGTTGACACGCTCCTGAAGTCCTGAGATATTCTTTCCCCGCACACTCAGGCCAACCAGTCTGTTCTCATGTAATTCAGCCGAGGCTTCACATATGGTCTATACAGCATAAAATAAAGTATTAGTTTAACAGTTTAGACAAGTAAAGTGAAAATTTCCTGAAGTTCCTTTTCTGTGTTTAAAGTAAAAATCACACTGCTTCATAATATCAGTTTGGGTGTGCCCACTCTTCTTCATACAACTATATTTAACTAACAATTAGGTTGCGAGCACCGACATCAGGTTGTCAAAGAACCCATTGAAATCATAAAAGGGTAATTAGTATACAGTATTTCTTCTGGCAAATGAATCATAGATTTGAGGGCTGAAACATTTTTCTCAAACACCATTTTTTTTTGCCAAAAACATAAATCATTGGCATGGCAAAATGACCCAACCTAGAATGCGGCCCCATTATTTGCAAATGTCCTATATGTATGAAATGTTCTGGGTATACGTAACTCACGGAAAATACAAAAACAGAGAAAGACCGTAAAACCAACAGGAAGTCGGCCATTCTACATTTTATTGCTCCCTACTGCTAACAGGAAATAAGGAGATTTGTACTTTTACTTTCTCGTCCTCCCATACTTTTCTAAACTCTCTTAAATGTTGCGAAAAACGCCTCAAGACATGGGGGAAGCTCTATAGATAAACTTTTGCATCTGCATCCTTCACCATGAGCAAAGAGTCAAAAGCAAAAAGGCTTGGAAAAGCAGCAGAATATTTGAACTGCAAACTTTTGAACTAACTTGATGGTGAATGATCTGTCACCATGCCAACGGCATTTGATGACATCCCATAATACGCTTAGATGCGTTGATGGCTGAATCGTTACAAAACCTGTGAAGTTTTGGGCCATTTGGAGCATTTTCACTGAAGTTATGAGAAAACCGTGTTTCATGGCAACGGCATGTCCCGTAGATGTCTTCACGGATGGACTGTTAGCACACATGTGAAGTTTGAGCACTTTTTTTACATTTTCATAGGAGTTATAGCGACATCGTTTTTTATGGCGAGGGATTCGTTTCCATGGAAACGGCATATGGTGAGATCTTAGATTTGGCGTAGAGCTGTTGAGGCATAGACCGGTGATATACAAGTGAAGATTGGGGGACGATTGGACCGTGTCCATTGGATTTACAGCGACATCGTGTTTCATGGCGAGTGGTCTGTCATGGCAACGGCATTTGATGACAGCCCATAATACGCTTAGATGCGTTGATGGCTGCATCGTTACTAAACCTGTGAAGTTTTGGGCCGTTTGGAGCATTTTCACTGAAGTTATGAGAGAACAGTGTGTCATGGCGAGCATTGTGTTGCCATGGCAACGGCATTTGAAGAAATCTCAAAACTGTCCCGTAGATGTCTTCACGGCTGGACTGTAAGCACACATGTGAAGTTTGAGCACTTTTTGAACATTTTCATAGGAGTTAATGTATAGCGACATCGTCTTTTATGGCGGAAAATGATGACACCCCATAATTGACGTAGAGCTGTTTAGGGCAGGACCATTAACCATTAGGCTTGTTTGAGACGCGTTGCGGCTCGCCTCGAAAGTAGACGAGAATAGCCGATCGCAGCCGGGGGAGGTCTCAAAAAGCTCGCCTGAAGTCGGACAGCTCGGAGTCCATGCTCGGAGTCGGCTTCGTCTTCTTCTTCTTCTCTTGGTTTTTTGGCGGATTGCAAACAACTTTAAGGTGCATACCGCCACCTCCGGAGTCGGCTTGACTCGGTTTGCATTTATAAAGAATGCACACATGTGTTTAATCGTTAATGTCAGATATGTACTAAGTAAATACATTTGTTCCTGCTCCAGATTAGATTCAACTTTATTGTTATTGCACATATTACAGGTACTGAGACAACGAAATGCAGTTTAGCTTCTAACCAGGTGCAACAAGCAGTAAAGTGAAAAGTAATGTACACAATCTACAGAATAACATATAGAATGAATTGAATGATGAATAAACAGTGAGGGCTATGAATACACTAGATCAGGGGTGCCCAACCTTTTTTGAACCGAGAGCTACTTTTAAAGTTGCCAGTCTGCCGAGATCTACCAGTCCAAATAGAGAGGCGTAGCCATTACTGACCAGGTAAACTACCAGGTAAATACACACTTCTACTTGTATAAAACTGACCTCTGTACGATTAATACTTCATAAAATACTGCAGATCCTTTATCTCAACTCTTTCTAATCTACACACATACAAGTATTCAACTGAAGTTACACAACAGTGTTGTTGATACAGAGTTGGAGTTTATTCACACGTCACATACTACAGTGGGTCATGTTTAAGAAACATTGAACAGTGCTGCCACATATGACACAGGGAAAAAAGAAAAGACTGAACCCTTTCTTTGCCATTATATAAAAATAGTGTTGCTACAAAAGTATAAATTAGGCTTACTAATAAGACAACTCAGATCTGAAGCTACACAGGAATCTGCTGCCAAAGTGCAATAAAAAAAGATTATCTAAAAAATGTATAGAATCAAACCCTTTTTTTGTTGCATTTTAGTAGAGTATAAAAAGAAATGCCTTTAAAATAGGATGCAAGCAAAGTTTCTTAACCTGAATTGATAATAGACTATAATCAATTTAAGTTTGCATTCTTATACCATTTTGTACAATAATTATAATGAATAAGTTCAAACTTACAGCTGATTAATAACGGTATCTATTGAGTTTTTATTATATTTTTACTGTCCCCAAAAAGCGCGTCGCAGCCTCCAGGAAAGCTTCTTTCACAACTTCGCCGTCTTTGAAAGACTTCATGTGTTTCGCAAGAACGTGACTGACACGATAAGATGCTATGGTAGCAGCCTTGCTGTTGTTGTTGGGCCTGGTGGAAATGGACTGCTGTGCATTTAGCTGTCCTTTCAGGCCCCTCCCCTTTTGGGAGCGTAGGGCAGAATTAGGAGGGAATTCCGTCTCCTAGCGTTTGTGCACTGTTTTGAAATGCCGCTCCTAAATGACCCTTCTTCGATAAAGCCACGCTCGCACTGCAGATGAGACAGATGGACTTTGAATTGGAATAGATACAAAAATAATCATCCTCCCACTCGGAGTGAAAATTATATATTTTGGGCTCTTTTGCTTCTGCCATAATTGCGGTCTTGTGTGTGTGCGGACTGTCACTCCTGTTGACACGGACAACGTCAGCGAAATAGTGCCCACTGCCCACTAGCCACGCCCCGACACATGGGGTCACGCCGGCCAATCACAAAGCTTTGATGCGTTCAAGTGCATTATTCTGGCACGGGAAGATTATGTCATAGGACATTAACGATAAAAACCGAATATTGTTGTTCTATTTTTAGACACATCTCGCGATCGACTGGGAATCTCCCCGCGATCGACCGGTCGATCGCGATCGACTGGTTGGGCACCCCTGCACTAGATATACACAGCAGCCTGAGAGCAGTATGAACAGTGTGTATGAATATGCTAAGATATATAAAGTATGAAAACGGTAAGCAGTGCAAGTATAGTATAAAATATATAGATATTCATTTCATGATGATAAATATTGTGGAACAATGATGAAAAATGTGAATGGAAGTGGCGACGTAAAACTGACACAAAACAACAACAACATTTTGCCAGCCAATTGGAGAGTTTCATCACCAGCACGTGGTAAAAACCACCAATGAGCGCTCAGCTCGAGATACCAGCGAGCCGTTTCCCATCAAGCATTTCGCTTCCGCAGCCCGTGGAGAGCAACTGCGCCAACTCGCCTCGCCTCGCTCTCAAGGCTGCGGGCGTCTTTGTCCCGCGAAATTTCAAAGTCTCATGTGGGCGGGCCTCCAGAGCAAGTCGGACAAAATGACTAACCATCATGCAACGCACTAGCAAGACGTTGATCGCAACTGCGCAGGTCTGCGCAGGTCTTGCTTGTCTCAAACAAGCCTAACATCTGAAGTCTGCTGCTCTGAGCATGTCAGTTGGAGTGATGACATCATCGTGTTCCATGACACAGGTGTTTCTAGTTGAGCTAACGAGCTCTGTAGAGATCACAGGTTTCCATTGTTCTGAATGAGAGCTAAACCTCTTACATGTGAACGTTTTGTTGAAGAACCGTAAGGTCCGTAACAGATATCAGTGACATTTCAAAATGTGAAGCATGTCAAGGACCTTGAGTATCTGAAGTGTACTTTTTGTGTACTTTCGGGTTAATAATGTGGCCTTTTTGGCAGTTTAACTAAAGGTGTGCGGCTGCTACCGTGAGGAAATATCTGCCTGAAATTACAATGGGCTGTTAAACTGATATGGTTATTGTGTTTGGGTGGCTCAATAGCCCCCCCTTTTAAACTTGAACAAACCAGCCCTCACTGTTATTTTTGACAGGCAGGTAAAGTCATGTAGATAGACAACATATTCCACAAGTAATGTCTACTCAATTGGTCCAGTTTCCAACGGTCAGGGCAAAAACACTACTGCGTCAACCTACGTCCCACAATTATCCCGACACACGTAGGGGGGGATGGACCCATTCAATTCTGCTTTCAGCCATAATGTTTTGCATGTTACAGCAGGTGGCAATGGTGAAAAGCAAAAGAGCAACAACTCTGTTTCAGTTGTACAATAACATTTGAGGATATTGTATGTTGTCAGAAACGGACATCACTTCCTCTTTGTGAAGCATTTCTGTTGTTGAGCATTTGTAACAAAAAAGCTGACCGTGGGAGACTTTTTGGGGGTTAGAAAAAAAAGAAGAAGAATAAACACATCTAGAGTTTATGGGAAAAATAATTACAATAGTTTTCCTTTTAATATACAAAAGTAGCTGTTCTTGTTGTTTGTGTAAGCTATATCATCTAAATGTAATAACATAGGAACAGGAATACAAAAAAAGTTAAGATCAAAGGGTGAATGTGGTTTGTAGTACACTAGCTCTACTAGCTCTACTAGCTGAGAACTGTTTGATACAAATAAATGAAAGAAACCAAACCATACTGGTCATATTATTGGTCATATTGTTATACTTAAATTAACTTTTAACATTTGCAGCAATGTGGCTGGTTATGACAGACCAAGTTAGAATTCTGTACCATCTTCCTGGTCGAATGTACTTATTGTAAGTCGCTTTGGATAAAAGCGTCAGCTAAATGCAATGTAATGTAATGTACCTCCTGATCCAAGGTGGATTTTTTGTTTATCTGCTTTAATTTAGATTGTGTGACAATTGACTTTGAGCTGCACCTTGTGTCTGTGATGTGCTATATAAATAAAGCTTTATTATTATCAGCATTTTCAAAAGTTTGAGTTGGTGGTCAGTTGTAGAAGAAACTATGTGGCCATTCCAAAATCTAAGAATTGGAAAATATTAGGGCATTTAGTTTGGAAAATGACCACATGCCAGCAACACATGCAGATTTTCAAAATCTCATAGTGTTACTCTTTTAATCTACTGCGCTCAAACCTTACTCACTCCTGTGAACCACACCCAATCCACTTCCTAAATCATGCAGCAGGTTTAGGGAAGCTCTTACTGGCAACACAATCAATGTTATTTATTTCCAAGAAATGTAACATGACACCACTAAAATGTTACTGACAAAACAAATTGCAAAAAGAAAAACATGAATTCTTTAGGTTTATGGTTTGAACTGGGAGTTTAAAATGTGATTTAAAGTGTTGTTCTACTTAGCAGTAATTTTTTTAAACCTTAAAGGGGCTTAAACATGCTAAAATTTAATACAACATTTAAATACAATGCAAAGTGACTAATATAAAATTGGACCATAGATATTCAGATTGTTTATTACAAGATTTGACATAAAAGCAATGTCTCTCACCCAGTTTGCGTCAGGCCAGGTAAGCATGCAGAACACAATGGTGTTTTCTGATCCAGCATCCAGCTCTCTCGGCAGTTGAACGCTCACTTTGTCACTATCGTTCACAGAATTGCCTGATCTTACCTACATCAGAGGCACAGAGTGAAGAACGGAAACCTTACATTAAATACCTGTAACATAATAACAGAACTCTCAGACATTTGTATCGAAGAGTAGTTTCACCGAATGGTCAACTACCCAACTATCAGGAGCAACTGTCGTGAATTGAGGGTTTTATAATTAGATGTGTCCAGGGATATTAAGACTTAGAGTAGGTCCTTAGTTAAATAAAATAAGAAGTGTTCAAGAAGAAAAAGGGCCCATTCAACCATGCTAGCAGCTCATTTGAGATTGTACTTAAGCATGTCAGAGCATTGAGCAAAATGCTAATGTTGGCATAATGTGATCTTTGAAGTTGGTTTTCAAATGATTATATGTGTTTAGTTTTCATCTATCCATGCTAACATTTGCTAATCATGAATTATGATGGCAGTAAAGGTGCTGGTAGAAAAGTCAGGGATCACAAAAGTGATAACAGTTGGATCAAGGGAACATGGATGTGCCTTCAACATTTCTCCATTCATTTCAGACATTGCTATGCCATACCCTAATACTATTACTTACCTTTTTATCACTAGCATGAATTTCAAGGCCTTTGAAGGGGACATTTGGTTTGTACAGGAAGGCCACCGAATTGTTGAAAGACAGTGATATAGACTCATTCACCTCTGTTTCCTCCAGAAGCCGTTCAAGGGTCTCAATGGCTCTTGTTGAAATTAAAGGACAAACTATTTTAAATAGCATTCTGATTTTACAACTGTTTCCCTTAAATCATATCTGGTGAACTATTAGTTTTGTACATATCACTCTACCCAGATGCAAACACAAACATAACCCCTCAACAAATATAAAATGTTTTCTTATAAATAGATTGAGATGTTTACTCGATAGAGTTGCCGTGGTGTCTGTGTTCCATAATCCCTTCCACGGTGTCTGGATACCCTGTAGAGTAAAACAAATATTTATTGAAATATAATATATTCTCAAGAAGTGTATTTAAAATAAAATAAATATTTGAGATCTTACTTTGTGTCTTTTTTTTGGAAGTGTTGCATTTATCAAACAGACGTGAACCTCTATTGGAACCCTCATCTGAATCTTTATTGGAACCCTCATCTGAATCTTTATTGGAACCCTCATCTGAATCTTTATTGGAACCCTCATCTGAATCTTTATTGGAACCCTCATCTGAATCTTTATTGGAACCCTCATCTGAATCTTTATTGGAACCCTCATCTGAATCTTTATTGGAACCCTCATCTGAATCTTTATTGGAACGCTCATCTGAATCTTTATTGGAACCCTCATCTGAATCTTTATTGGAACGCTCATCTGAATCTTTATTGGAACCCTCATCTGAATCTTTATTGGAACGCTCATCTGAATCTTTATTGGAACCCTCATCTGAATCTTTATTGGAACGCTCATCTGAATCTTTATTGGAACGCTCATCTGAATCTTTATTGGAACGCTCATCTGAATCTTTATTGGAACCTTTATTGGAACCTTTATTGGAACCATATAGCAAAGACAAGACCAGCCAACAGAGGAACCAACTCTTCATTCTGTGAAAGGAAGAGGATTCATTTATAACAACAACCTCTCTGGGCTTTTCAAAAACACACGTCATAAATGAACGACAAATGAATAGTCATTCAGTAGAATAGTCCACCACACTCACACAACTTAAGACTAAGACACCACTGTATAGTAATACCAAAGTGCAATAACATTACAAACAAGACTACGACAAATACTGTTGTGCAATAACACATGTGCAATTTGTAAGTTAGTAGAATGTACTTTGAATGTAACTTGACCATTTTAGTGACTTTTAAAATTGTCTTTTTATTTGATCTTGATTGATGTTGATATTTTTTTGTCTCTATCTTCACTTTTGTTGTAACAATTAAAATGTCCACTCTGTAGGACGGATAAAGGTATTCTGATTCTGACTAAATATTGACCTCTGTGAAATCCTTTACTTGAGCCTTACAAAGGCAAAAAGGGAAGTTCCAAAAATCATTAAGACTTTTATCAGCACAAAAAGCTAAATGTTATGGTTCTGAAGTAAGAGTATCAAAACAAAGCCTACCTTTTCATGTTGCTGGATCAGTGTAGAAATGGTTTTGCCATAAGAGTACAGCTGATGTGACTACAGGACAAAAACAAGTGAGGAAAGCTAAATGTTGGGGCTTTATGGGAAGTAAAGCAAGAAAAAAAACATAATAACATGTAAATGGTATTCTATATTAAAGAGGAAGCAGCCACATGCAAAACATACCTATTGTGTCACTTACTTCTGTTACCTCCAAATATGGGCTTACATTAAATAATTGAGGGAAGATAGTACTTAGCATTGCACACTTGTCTTGCATTCTGTACACACATTAGGCCCTAACTCACAGTTTTGATTAGAAGCTGGTTTATCCTAAACAGTACAACATTGGTCAATATGCAACACGTCACTTGGTTTATGGCTGCACGTCACAACTACCACCAACAGAGGGGAGTAGAGCGTTTAAAGACAAATCTAGTGAGACAAGCTGTTTAAAGTGGAAAGCAAGCGATCCATCCTTGTTTTTTTACAGGGTGTTAACTCTGCCTTTGTCAGACCACTACGTTTCCAGCCCTAATTTTCTTGCTTTGGACAGCCACCGTTAGTAAGGCTGCTAGAAGAAGCCTGTGGTAATGTTTACAAGAAGTAGAAGTTGCACAGTTAAAAAAGAAACAAATTGTAGCCTTTGTTGTTGGTAGCTGAGGAAAACATAAAGCGATCTAACAGTGCGTCAACATTAATACCACTAGAGGGAAAAGTTACCTTTTTCTGTGTTAATTAAATATATTTGACGCATAACAGTACATCAACATACTAAAGGCTGTAAAGAGATATGGGTGTCATTCCTAATTCGATCACTGGTGTGTGGGCAGGTGCTGACTGATGTTAGCCTCTGGGGTTCAAACCTACCTGAGGCAAACATCATACAAAGAGACCATTGAAGCAGAGTGACTCACATAACGCAGGTGCTGATCCTTATGAGTAACTGGAAAACCCTAAGTGATAAAACATCCCTTTTATTTGTAAGTACATTTGCCTTTTTAGTTGTCAGCAAAAGTCACACAAATTATACAATGGGGATTTCCAAGAAGTCAAATTATTACCACTATTTTTTCTCCAAACAAGTTGGATTGCTTGAAAATGTCACGTGTTGTTTCCATTTGTCAAAAGTAAAACGTATAACAATTGCTGAGTAACATTTCAATGTATTAAATGAACTGAAGCTAAAAAAAAAGAGGTTTACCAACATCCTTTGTGTGTGTTCAGTAAACTATGACACTTCCCGTATTGACCTCAGGCCAAAACTCATTTAGCCTTTTAGACATATTTCCCTGCAATACCAAGCAGGGGTAAGTGCATAGTGAATTGCAAAAGGCAAGACAGCATTGACAAATGCAAACAGGTACCGATACAAGTTGTTCTTTTTTAATTATATGTGAGACTTAACAAAACAACTTTGTTTAGCATCTACGTCTTTATGCATCTCACTATTAAGCTTATGTCTTTATTCACTTTTCATACTCATTTTGACCACAAGAGGCTGCAATGCACTACTAAGCAATGTATCCATGTGTTCTTAAACATAATTATGAATAACTTTAAATTATCTGTTTTCACAGATGAAAAAAAGTCACTTTGACAAATTATCTTGTCAAAACTTATTGTATGTGGCAAAATCGTTTCAAAATTGAGTGAAACAAAAAGTAACACCATGGTCATATCAGTTAGTGAATTGGGTTAATACCCCTTTTATTATGTTTATCTCTTAATGGTGACTTCAAATCTCATAGCTTATCAGTACATGTACCTGTTACATTCAGTATTTGTACGTGTGTGAGCTCTTACACACATTGGGGGGAGGGTCATGGTTGCTGGCGTCCGTCTCGGGCTCTTCCTCCGCTCCCTCCCCACTTCCACCTCCATCCGTCCGGTTGTGAAGCATTGTAGTGGTCAGCTCCATCAAGTCAGCCACTGGAAAATAGGACACAACCGGAAATGATATGCCTTCAAAATAAGAGACAACTAAAATATCAGACCTGGCAGGAAACTTTAATAGTTAATAAAAACAAACATTATTCCTGAGTCATTATGCTACTTGTACGTGAGTTCCCTCAAACATTTACATTTGTTTAACTGTTAAAAGGCCAATATAATTGAGAAGGAAAAAAGTCACATTCTGCATGGAGAAAATAACTTTATTTATTATACAGTATTCCCTGTTTCTTCTACTTTCAAACCCGTCAGAGACGACAGAATGATTCAGACTGCGTACCTTTTATTTTGGCAGCCATGACAGGGACACCTCGCTGATGTGCTGCCACGCTTGACGCTCTCATCTCCACGTTAGGTACTGAAACCCCACCAACAGAGGACCACTGTCCGTGCTGCTTCGGTAGGAACACAACACAGCCACGGAATCAGGATAAGACTGATAGCAACTAAGTATCGGCTTCCGAGACGGTTTCCTCTGGCAAAAGGGAACAACTGGACGTAGAGGGCTCTTTTTTTATTTTTTACAAGAGGTAGCGAGCTATAACTGCCGTTGCCGCTTACAGCTACGACACTGCTCGAGCTGCTGCTGAAGGAGTCAAGTGCGGTGAACTTCCATGTTGTGGCTGTTTCAGATTTCTAAACTTTCTCAGGGTACATTTGAATGCACCCGAATAGGCATCAACACGACATGAGTTCATTTACCCACTGTATTTGAACATGTCAGCAGTACATTATTTACTCAAAATCATTTATGGGTTATGCCCACTTTGATTGTGGGCACTGCTGGAGACATTGTTGCTCTTTTGAAGTGCACTTTCAAGGTTACTAACAGGGCAGTGACTTTGATGTTAATTAAATGAGTCGGGCGCTCTGGTGGGTAACTCCCGCTAGAGATAACAGAGCACAGTAGTCAAAGAAAGGTGAGACGGACTGTTAACGCTGTTAAAACAACTTAAAGGAGAAACCTGCATGGAGGTTCACATATGACAAGTCGCGGACATTTATGGAGGGTCAGTTTGTAGTGCGGCTCTGGCTGTAAAACTGAAATGGGGCTCTTTTCCAGGATACAAGTGCACAGTTGAAGACCGTCGTATAATTCTCACTTGGGAATAGTTTACAACCATTGTATCAGGGTTTTTACCACTAAACCAACAGTACTGTAAAAACCTTTCAACGACACTAGTTTATCCTCTGGGATTGAACCACTACTGATTTCCCTCGCGCCCGGACCATGGCCTCCTCCTCGCAGAACAGCTGCTTCTGGTTGCTCTGGAGACGCACCTTCCTCGCGATGGGGCTGTGCGCGCTCGTGGCGCGTGGAGCAGCGGAGGGTGACAGCGTCTTCAACTCAGAGGTAAATACAGCGTTATTAGTGACTATACTGACTGACTAATGCTCTATGCTTAGGCTACTAACTGCGATGAAACCATGATGCTGGTTTTTACTTTTGCTATAAGCAGTCACTAAAGTTTTGTATACAGTCTAGTGCTAGGCCTATTAATGTAATTTAGTTTCTTATTTAAATCCACTAATACAAACCAGTGTAACAGCTTCAGACATGAGCAAGTCATCAACAATGAAGCAGGACCACCCAGTGCACACCAGCTGGTTGATGATACTTGTATTCATTATATTATTGTAATAATGCTCTAACTAAATGCATATTTTCCCGTAAAGTGCACTTGGTGAGGAAAACATATTGATTGGCAGGTGTGCAGTCTTTTTTTTTGTTGCATTCATTGACATCACAAGGCTTTCACAAATCTGTCTGTAAGGGACATTCACATCTATAATATCCACCTCTTTAATGGAACATGTTTTAGGTAAGATGATTTTTTTAAATTCTGGGCACCCCCATCACACCATTCTCAAAAACAATGATTTGGACCCCCCTTTCATATTTGCTGTGCTAGAAAAAACACATGCTATAGCAAAACTGATCTCCACCTTAGTAGCCATTGTAAAGGTAAGTACTTAGAATATTACCTTGCACTCCATAAGGAACACATGTTTTAGCATTATTTAGGCGCGTAATTAGACGCCAAAGTGTGCCATAGTAACAAGTTTGAACTTGAACCAGCACTTCTTGACATTTTTCTTTCACCAGTTCAGCTGTTATCTAGAACACTTGACTGTTTCACAGTATTGAAAGGTGATTAATTGTGGAGCTTTTGTTTGTTGTTTGCCAAAGAGAGACAGACAGACAACGACAGACGGAGAAACCACCGGGTCATTAGAGGTGACCATGCATTTCCAAACTCATTGACCAGGGGGGTCTGCTTGTTAGCCACGTTACAACATACAGTGTGTGTGTGTGTGTGTGTGTGTGTGCGCTAATGTGTCTCGCTGACAAGAGATGGAGGGTTTACACAATGTGTGGACTGAGGAGAAATTCCTAATCGCTTGTTGCTAAATGTGTGTGTTTGTGTGTGCCAACTGAAATAGTAACAACACATGTTGACACATCTGGAATGCTCCATAGATCTCTGAAGGTAAAGTGCATCCTGAACGCAGTGCACGTCAACTTTATTAATGGCTGCTGTTCCAACTAAAGTAAATGAAGGCTGATGGATTAGAAAGACTTGCCAACCTACCAAATAGGATATTCTTGAACTGAACGCCATCAACCGATATTGTTTCCACCTGTCAGTTCTTTACTGGATGGCTATGTTTATAATAACAAACTTATTACACAACATGGGTAAAATAGAGAGAACAGCAATACCTCAGGTACAGAACACTGTTGATTAGGGCTGCTCGATTATGGCAAAAATCATAATCTCGATTATTTGGGTCAATAATTGATATCACGATTATTAAAAACGATTATCCATTTACTTTGAAAACATCCATTTATTGAAAAACAAAATGTGAACAGTATGTTTTTAACAGTTGATTACCTTGAACTTTAAGGATAATTCAACTGAAAAAAAAAAAAAGTTGATCAATAATCGTTTTATTTCAATTATGTTGTTTTCATAATCGTTGCAAGCCAAAATCGTAATTGCGATTCAAATACGATTAATTGAGCAGCCCTACACAATGTTGCCTCAGTGGAGAAATGTAATAAGCACCTGTTGCTTTTATTCTGACAATTTACGATGATTTCAATGTGATTTAAAAGCAACATAAAGTGTTTGCATTTATATCTGAGATTTAAATCACTTTTATTCTGACAAGTATGGCAAATAACGGAACTTGTATTAGCTGCAATTTGCACTTGATGACTTAAAGATGTCTTGCTGTTGTCGGTTGATGGGACTGCTAATCTTCAGCCTTACCACTAATCATTTGATAGGAGAGACTGAGTTTAGGAACTAACTGGTGGTCTGGAGCAGGGAAGGTGAATGTTTCTCTGGAGTCCGAGGGGAACAGCTATACATGCCGTATAGTGTACTTTCTAAAATAAAGAACGGGTAAAGGAAGGACTTAGATCAACATATAAAATGACACTACACGTAAAAGTGTTGTTTAGTTTGGTTCAAAGCAGCCTCTGTGACACAAACCCACACTCTGTTGGATTGTGTTGAGTCTACATTACACCTACTCTACAGTTTCTTCACATACTGAAATCTAAAATTAAATCTGATCCTCACTTGTCAGTTGTGGTTTAATCCATGTGTTGAGGAGTTGGCCCGAGACCTTTACTCCTACTCTGTCTGGACAAAAAGGATGAAGTGGGAAGGAAGAAGAATGACGGAAAAGGGAGAGATGTTGTGTGTGGCGAGCATTTTAGAAATCTTGATTCAAAAAGGGGAAATGCCCCGGCAAATTTATTTATAAAAGCCGGAAAGAGAGACCAAGATGGATATAGAAAGTTGACGATCAGTCTCAGCTGTGCAGCATGTGATGGCTGAATGTGACAGCTGTTCTCTAACTGACACACACACACACACACACACACACACACACACACACACACACACACACACACACACACACACACACACACACACACACACACACACACACACACACACACACACACACACACACACACACACACACACACAGACAGTGCACAGGCATGCTGGGCCTGGGACTCCAAGGCATCTTAGGAAATACAATGGACCCTCTTGTCTGAAGAGAAAGAACTGTGAGAGAAAACTTGCCAATAGGAGAAAGAGAGCGGATAAGCCCATAAAGAAACGTGACAAGAGAAAGCTGTAGAAAGAGTATGCAAAAGGTGTACAACAACCATATGTTAAAGCAGAGTAACAGTAGGGAAGTGGTAATCAGTGACTTATTGCTGCACATAACACGACAACTTCCTCAATCCGTATCCTCTTTGTATTCATGTAATCTGCAACGTGCTGTCCCTCCACATTCCAGCCCCTTTCCCCCCCTGTGATTGGCTATCACCACTTCCACAACTCTGACATTGCTTAAGGGATGGGATGGGGCAGGGGGATGATATGAGATGGGAACGGGAATCTCTGAGCATGTCATAGGGTTATGCATTGGGCATTTCTGCTCTTTGCCAAATCATGTTTTTTTAAAAGGGCCGTGTCATCAGGGATTCAGACTAACTGTTCTACCACTGGTGCTACTAACGTGGGAGTGTCGTGTCTATGAGAGGAACTCTCTCTGGGAACTTTGGGATTTAGACTTTGCAGACCATTTGCGTTCACATAAAACAATATAACACAAAACAGCAAAGGGAAAACCCCAAAAAGCATACATAATACTTTTATACTAGTACAATTCTGTAGCAAATATTGTACTTTTTACAACATTTAAATGATAACTTAATAAGACAAACTATAAACATCAAGAGAGTATTTGTACTCCTGGTGCACAAATGCTAGAGTAATTAGCTTGCAGTCTTGAGCCTTGTATCCGTTTTCTTCTCTAACTCCATGTGTGCTGCGTGAAATCTTCAAATGTAACTAATGAAATTCTCTTCCTCCTGCTATCTTTGTCTCGCTCTCAAAACTCCATTTACTTATCCGTCCTGTTGGTAGGACTTTGAGGGGTAGGAGATGGCAGCATACCAAGCCTTAAAATAAAAGCTCAGTTAGTATCTTGGCTGACATTGGGGTGGACACACACATACACACACACACACTACAACACACACACTGCTGGCAGGTTTTATAACTCCTTGTATATTGCTGGGTCTGGTTTTGGCAGGTAAGCTCAAGGACTCTTTGAAAGACCATTTAATATACGAGGCCAAGCGTGCGTGCATGCACACACACACTCCTATTCCTCCTGTTGTCTAAAACTTGCTTTGTATTCCGCCCAGCTTATGAGGGAAGGTGAGTGGCCATACTGAGACTTGACTGTTTAAGACGAATGGGTTTGAGGAGGGGGGGTTCAAATGCCTCCATACATCTTCCAAACAGCACTATAGCTCTTCCCTTGTCCAGACCACAACCTGCTGTAAACACAGGGAACAGAGAAAGGGTGTGTAGATACAAGATCAGATTCAGCTAACATAAAGGTATTTCCCTTTTGTATCAAGTGCAATCACTGCAGCAATGAGTACCATATGGAGATGCTAATCACAGAGGAGCAGGGAAGGAAGCAGCTGGACAAAGACACATGTAGGAGATTACACAGGACACTAGCTTGGCTTCTTCTTTTGATTACCTTTATGGGAATTCGGGACTAGAGTGGCGCAGTATTGAGTCCTAAAACCCTAACACAAGCTAGAGATTTTCCCTTTGAGTTGTAAAACACGTACAACACAAAATATCTCAGTAAGTACACCGCTAGCGAATGTCTGAAGCTTCTATCTGTCATAAAAACGGCAGTTGCTAACAAGTTAAATGAGACGACTAAACGTCATCCTGCCGAAGTTTTGCCGCCTTTAGCTTAGCCGCCTTGAGCTTAGCCGCCTTGAGCTTAGCCGCCTTTAGCTTAGCGATGGTGACGTGAAGTCATGTGACAGTTTGTTTATAGCTGTTAGCTTAACACGTCTGCTGTATGCATTTACCCTCAATAATCATAGTCGGATTAATATGTGGAGATTTTCCTGTGATACTTAAACAACCAAATGTGTATGTATCATAAACGTGTGTTTGCTGGAGATTTTACACAGGACAACCAGCTTTGCGACACAACACACAACTCTTTGTTTTAGGCGTTATAACGGCTGCTAACATTATCCAAACAAAAAAAGCAAACTGCCTACTCACCACACTCGTCTATTTCTCCCAAACAACCAGATTTCACGTATTCACAATAGACAGGCTGATGACTTGGATCACCTGAAACACAAATTAAGAGCCAGCAAGCAGAGAACACACACACAGACCCCTAGTGGAGTGGAGGGGGTCGTAACACTTACATTCTGTCATTTTTCACAGTCCAATGGAAAGACACATCACTTTTTGTCAATGTAGCCGTTGCAATGCTAACTTCTGGGTTGGCCTTCAAAAATACGTCCTGACTGCAGCTCTCTATAACAATTTGAAACTGCTTTGGTTGGATGACCGTTAGCGGGTGCATTTCAGCGAGTGCTTTGTTTTTATCTTTAGGCAGTATGAAATATGAAGTACATTAGCTGACATGAATCTACAATCAATACTGCTTATTACTAATCAGCTCTTTAAAGATGTTCTGTCTTTTGGGGACATGTTTGTTAAATCTATCCTAGTGGAATTGTAAAAAAAAATCTTATTCGATTACATTTTCATACAGCTGCTGTGATTAGATTATTTGACCATTGACTGAAACCCTCCCTTTTACAGTGATTGTCCACTCCTAGCATTGCAAATATAAACCAGGTACAGAGTCCACCACGTTGCCATTCCAGGGCCTGTGTCCAAATACTGCCTATTTCTGAGTGACAGCGTACTTTAGTTGTTTTCACTGAGGAGTGAGCACGTGGGTCCCCGCAACCAGCAACTTTTTTCTGACCCCTCTGCCTTTTTTTGCTGTCGCTCCAAGAGCTTCAAGTTAAAACATTTTATTTTTATTTTTCAATTCAAGTGCTGGTGAGGTGACGGTAGAAATGAGAGAAGAAGCCTGTTTTTGGCCATGTCTGTCAGACCAAAACATAACTAACATTGAAATAACTCTGTTTGCCTCTGTCTGAAATGAATGACCTGTGGTCAAACATTAATTAAAGTTCAGAATGGTTAATCTGCCACAGCTATCATTGTTACGTGCATTTTATGCCGGGCAAGAATGGAAAACTTCATGGGCATAACAACAGAAACTGGAGGGGCGGGGCTTATCAACCAGTTGTTTGTGTTGAGTTAATGTTAGCCTGGTATACTGTTGTGATGTTTGTGTTGTCTTAGCTATTCTGTAGCGGTAACTACATGTATGATTACGTTTCATGCGATGAACAGAGATTTTTTGTGAACCCTGCCACCTGTTTTCTAGCTTGTGTGCCTGTTCGTGAGAGAGTATTAAGATAGTGTTTCAGGAAGTTTGTGTGTGTGTGTGTGTGTGTGTGTGTGTGTGTGTGTGTGTGTGTGTGTGTGTGTGTGTGTGTGTGTGTGTGTGTGTGTGTGTGTGAGCTTCCTTATCTAAAGGCATAGGTGGGTCAGGGTCACGTCCAGTTTACCCTCTCCTACACTCTCATTCACAGAGCTGTATCTGCAAGAAAGAGAAACATTGAAGATGAGAAACAGCGAGGGAATAATGCATACATACATAACAATGTTTTCCATACATTTATTTGTGGCGGGCTGCCAGTATTTTGAATTTTGGTGGTCTAATGGATAGTGAGGTGGGCTGATGATCGGAAGGTTGCGAGTTCAAATCCCGCCTGGAACACCACTACTAGTGTGCCCTTGAGTAAGGCACTCAGCCCTCAGTTACTCCAGGGAGAATGTCCCTGTAACTGGTCATTGTAAGTCGCTCTGGAATAAGGTGTCTGCTAAATGCCTGAATTATAAATGTTATTGTTGGGAGAATAAACCCCACAGATCCTCAACTCCGGAGTGTCTCACTCATTAACAACGCAACACAGAGCAACAAGAACGTTGTCTACAGTAGCCATGAACTCGCATGTATTATCTTATTTGAGGGGGGGTGGATGAGTGGGCCACCCGAATAGGTTAAGGGGCCTTTGGCTTTTCTTGCCGGGGGGGGAAACACTGCATAACATTAAGAGTTTTTCTTATTTCTTTCTGCAAAGGAAATAATAAACAATTAAAATGATGTAACACTTAAATGCTTGACAATATTGTACATGAGTGTGTCTCAATATTCAATAATAAGATATATGTAAAAGATTGACGAAGTGTAGTGAAACAATAGATTTACAATAATAACTATAGGACAAAAGAATATAGAAAAAGGACAGAAAAACATTTATGTAGTACAGTTACTAAATTAACTAACAGGAGCTAAAGTGACCAAAGTGAAGTATTTACGTAAATATCGAGTAGTATATATATTCAATAAAACAAGTGTTTAGTTTATGATTGTGGGTTGTTTAATAATGGCATAAGGTAATACCATATATACAAATAATAATAATAATGATGATGATCAACCTGAAGAGGAGATATAAGCTCAGCACATAGAAGCCTGCCTTTATTGTTTGGAGATATAACCGAAATATGAAAAGCTCCAAAGCCTGAGGACTCAAACACTATTTGTTTACCTCCCTTGAGCTCCTGTTGGCCAGTATATCTGTCTGTGAGTTACTTGTGTTTACTACAGTTGTGTGAACGCCTAGATATTTGAAGCCGCATGTTAAGGGAAACTGAGTGCATCTTTACAGAAACAACCGGCTCAGTTAGTGATTAAAAGCTAGTGTTTTTAACGTCAGTAGCTCTGCGATGATCATTTCAACTCCTCTTATCAATGTGTGTTTTTAAAGAAGAGCACAGTTCCACAGCGTTGCCTTTATAACATAGTCATATTGTAGTTGTGTAGACATTAGATGACACTTCCAGGGATTGGTTGGACTGTAGGGACATTTTGTTTGTTCAGGACACACTTACAGCAAACACAACGTATCGTCTAGTGGGGGTACCTCCTACACTAAGACATTTAGTGGGTGGCACTTCTACATGACTAGAGCTCTTATTATTTACAGTTTTTATAAGATGTGCGCCGAGTATATGTGTAAGAGGGAGAAAGACTGAAAGATTGTTGGTGTTTTTTAAGGAGTGGATAAGTAAACACAGATAATCAAGCAGTATCTTTCATTGTGTAAGATGGGCGTATATTTGACAAATGCACACACAGATACCCACACTGCTTTATGTGTGCACTCAGACACTCCCGTTTACATTCCCTGCACCACCATGGATAGGGTGTCCATGTGTGGGCGTATCTAGTATCCCAGACTACCCAGTATGCAAGTGGTTGCCCGTGTGTGAGTGCGTGTGATATTAGGTTTCTTCTTAACAGGTGGGATAGACTTTGCGTCATCTGTGATTGGCTCAAATATCACGTTTTCTCCATCAAGTCTGTCATTAACACCCACCCCCCACTTACATGATCCCAGAGAACCAGATGAGGTAGGGCTCACAGTGCTCACATTCAGCTCTGAAACTAATGTCCTTCTGAGTACCAAGTCAAATCTCTGTCATACCATCATGTTACAAAATCTGTGGTATCTGCTGTGCCTGGCTATGGAAGGATATTTCTGCCAGTAAAAAAATACAGATAAGAAAACGATAAAAAAAACTCTTTGCCCTGTGATGAAACAAAAGGTTAATGTAAGACATTATGGTTAGAAACGTTGTACAAATAATAATGTAGTATGTGAAATTACAGAAACACTTTTTTTTAAATGATGACGTATGAAAGCTTCTAATTTTTTCGAGATATGAAAGTCATTATTTTGAGATTCAAGGTAATTATTTTAACACAATTTCTTATCTACTCATCATTCAGTCATTGTTTTAAGTTAAATGTGTCATTATTTTCTCCATCCCTTTGGCAGAAATGGGCTTCCGTAAAAAAACAATTCAAAATCCTGACAAAGATCGCCCAAATGCTCATAAAACTATCCGTGTTCATAATGATGAAAGTGTACTTTCTGAGATAGTGTCATGTCTGTGTAGCGTAAGCTTTTGGCAATTTAATGGTTGATGATGGCCACTTCCATTGCAACCAACCAAAATGATATTTCTAAAAGTTTCCTTATGTGTTTTTCTTCCTGTCTCCAGTCATGGCTGAAGATGTACGGTTACCTGCCCCAGGCCAGCAGACAGATGTCGACCATGCGATCGGCTCAGATCCTGTCCAATGCGATCAGCGACATGCAGCGCTTCTACAGCCTGCAGGTCACTGGACAGATGGACCAACAAACAGTCAGGTTAGCCTGGATTAACTGGAATATTTTTTGTATGTTAAGACTCACACCAACTCTCAAGATAATATGGACCAGTCCCTTAAAGCAACGACCACGTCTCAACAGCGTGTTAAAGACTTAGAGAAATGTCATGTAAGTAGAAAGAGGTGAAGAAGGACAAGTGATTTCGTCTATAGGGCTGGTCTGGAGGACAAACTGAAGTCCAGGCAGAGGGAGACTCAGGGTGGGGGGGTACAAGCCCCCAGACGATCCCTGGGTTGAGACAAAAAGTATGATTATACCAGATGAAATAGAAAAACATAAAATAAGGAAAAAGACAGCAGTAGGGAATGAAGGGATGGTGTGAAAGAGTGGACTAAAGAATGAGGGATGAAGTCACGAAGGAGGTGAAGGGTGAATGGACGAAGTGATGAAGGGATGTAGGCAAGACATTATTAATAGCAGAAGGATGGAAAGAATGAAGATGAAGGGCTGTAAGGAAGAATTAAGTGTTGCCGAGATGTGGGGAGGAAGGGATGAATGGGAGAAGGAATGGAGGGATGTAGGGCTGTGGACGGGGAATGGGTAGATGTTAGGAAAGGAAAGGGTGTGTGTTTATTGAAATGGGAGACAAACTTGACCCGATGTGTTTACCGGTTAGAAGTAGCTTAGCGGGTGATAAGAGTTGTGATTGGTGCCTTGCTTGATTTAGTCTAAATGTCACTGTTCGTGCTGTGATGATAAATGCACGATAACACATTGATTCACTGACACGCTGCTTGCTCCTTCAGTGCCATGAGGAGACCCCGCTGTGGTGTGCCTGACAAGTTTGGAGGCCCGATCAAAACCAACGTGCGGCGGAAACGCTATGCCCTCACGGGGCATAGATGGAACAAGAGCCACCTCACTTACAGGTAACATCAAAACCTTCTGTTTTTAAAGAAAATCAAACCGGTAACTGTTAAACTTTTTAAAAAATGTTTCCCTCTTCCTCTCTTTTTACCACAGTATCCAGAACTACACTCCCAAGATTGGAGAGTATAACTCATACGAAGCCATCCGTCGGGCGTTTAAAGTCTGGCAGCAGGTGACCCCATTGACCTTTGACGAAATCCCCTACCAGGAGATCAAATATGGACGCCGCAAGGAGCCCGACATTATGATCTTTTTCGCTTCGGGTTTCCATGGAGACAGCTCTCCTTTTGATGGGGAGGGAGGCTTCCTAGCTCACGCCTACTTCCCTGGACCTGGAATGGGCGGGGACACACACTTTGACTCCGATGAACCATGGACCATAGGAAACCATAACGTACAAGGTAAACGCTCACTGTCAGTATCATTTCTATTGTTTGGCCAAATGTAGATAAACAAGGAACAAAATCTTATTCTCCAACAAACGTCTTGGAGAGGCTTTTAGGAAGCACCGTCTGATGCTTCAGTTGGGTGGATGTTTTGCCGCAAAATGTTAGTTGGTGTGTTGGACGTGTTGGACGTGTGTGCAGCTGCTCACATACGGCTTGCTGTGTTATGAAGCCTTTTATTGAGCGAGGAGGGAGTCATTACCTTCTTTTTTTGGTAGAAATGAGGATACAGGTTATTATGCCCTTAATCTTTTCAGCTGATGGGCTGTTCGGAGTCCAATAGTTATGTTGAAGGGTTTTAGTGCTGGTGGATTTATCACATTTTATTTTCAATTACAATTTTGGCTTATAATAATAAGAAAATAGAGATAAAACGTTTACAATGTTCTCATTTTGTGTTGTGTTAGAAATCTAGTGCACCCTTTTTCATTACAGTAGCGAGCTGCCCCTGATTGTACAATAAACAGCTGTTCTAAACACATCACTAGAGTTGGCTCAACTAAGACATTCTAAATTGTATTTTTGTGCTTACGGGGAATATTGCTGTTGAAATCATTGCCTTGACCTATGCATTAACCATACATTTAACTTAAAATGACCCAATTACAACTCTTTGCAAAAGTGAGGATTAAGAAAATGTATTCATTTTGAAGAACCTTTTAGAAGAGTCTGTTTCCTTGCTGTGCACTCATTAACCCTGCTCACCAGAGAGGGATTTGAGTGACAATAGGCTTTCCTCCCCTGTTATCCACAGACACAGCAGACTGCTAAACGTTGTGTGTGTGTCTGTGTGATCAGCTGTGTGTGGGATGTGTAGCTGGACAGATCACAGGGACAGTGGAATGCCACAGTAAGTGGGAGTGTGTTCCACTTGGAAGGACTGGTCCCTTTGTTGCACCACGCTACTTACACAGCTCAACAGCAGAGTACAACCAAATTACAATATTGTCTGACTTCAGTTGGACACATGTCTAATTAGTCAAACTTTTTGCAGATGCAATCTTCTTTCAACTTCAGCATGTTTACTTCCTACAAATCGCACTGTTGCTGAAACAGCCCTTACTCTTTGTTACATTTGAATTTTCAGATTTCCTTCCAGCATAATTCATGCAGATTGATCCAGCAATTGGCTGTTGGAGAGATATTGCACAATACAGTCAACATTGAGAGCTGACACAGCGACAATTCATTCAGTTAATTATTTAAGGCAGTATATAGTACGTTTCTAGCTAGAGAAATCACAAAATGGAAATGTGCAATATCCAAATCGTGCAATATTTGGCAAATGAAGGCGACAGATGTGAAAATATCTGAATAAAGTACTGTGTTACTGCAGAAAAGCAGCAGTCTACAAATGATATTCTGCAGACTTCATCAAAAATCCTTGTTTGGTATCGATTTTCTTAAAGAGGCCATATTATGCTTTTCAGGGTTTTCCACGTGAATGATCTGTAAAGGCCAAATTCCCTGTTTGCCCTCCAAAGTTTCTCTCCCACCTCCCCCACCACCTCAAACAATTCCATTGGACTCCTTTGTTTACTTCTGTAACATGGTGACATCACTATGTAACACTCACTCTTCTATTAGCTAGCTCTCCAACACATTGTACGTGACATCCTTAAACGGTTAACCAATCACAACTGAGCCGGCCAGCTAACCAATCAGAGCAGACGGGGCTCTGGTTTCAGACAGAGAGTGAAAGCGAGTGCTCATATATTGTCTTCTTTAATATATAGTGAGAGTTGCAGAGCCATGTTAAAGCCTTATTCATCAGCTCTGCTCAAGTGTCCTTGAAACAGAATCAGCTTTGACCTCTGACCTCCTTTTGGGTGGGGTCAAACAGACACACACTTTAGCTTAGGGATCAATAGTTCCACATAAAAAATGTATACGACAGATTGACTGTAAAAGCCTGAAACCCATTCAGTCCACTCTTTGCAGTTACGGGGTTTCCCTATCCTTGACCTCAGTTTCACGGGTTAGTGAAGAACGATGCTTTTAGGACGAACATTTTCAGAGTGAACCTTATGATTCACGGTGTGATTAATCAGCTGCTCGCTGTGACTTGCTGACACACACACTCAAAGCCACCTTGCACGGAAACAACACTGCAGGCCCGTAGCAATAAAAGCCCAGGAGCTTGTGTTTTTCTGTGCGGTCAGATGAGACTAATGTGAGAAAGTCACTGGCACAAAGGAGTGCACTTTGGGTGTCAGGGGTCTGCTTTAATGTCCTTCACAGGAACAAGTGAACAACGCTTCAGAGTTGAAATAAGGATGACAAAATGTCTGTTTTAGTGTACAAGGTAGTCAGAAATAGCAGTAGATAGATTGGCTGAACTTCTAACTTTTCCAAGACTTTGAAGTTTTGAACAGTTGTCACAGTTACCACACAAAGGCCTCTTTATCCACTCAGCTATCTCTAGCACTGTGTGTTGCCCTCTGCTGTGAGCTGCAGTCCACCATGAGGACATTCATGTGACTCTGAAATTATAGATCGTAGGGGAGATGAACTGTGTGTATCCTCCTGTGTGTGTTCCTTTGTGTGTGTGTATGAGGGGAAGCTCAAGGACAGGCATTCAGAGCATCTCCCATTCCCTTGCATGACACACAGCAGTGACTTCCACGGGTCCCAATCCCCCCCCCCTAACGGCATGACGTAACTAGCACAAATCCGACCAATCAGCATCACACGAGACAGAATGGCTAGCAAATGTAAAGTTCACAAAGAGCATGCACAGGAAACACAATGGTATTCACACAGGGGAAGCACCTACATAGGTTTGGATTCACTTTAGAGATCAAATTATTTTTGGTGAATTTTTAACTGTGGTTTTACTTTTCTCAAAAAAGAAAGTCTGTAAGAAGACCTTCATGTAGAGAGGAAGTTGATGCAGGGGTCAGTGTGTCACAGCTGTGTGGCGGTGGACAATGACATCTCTTGATTGGTTAGAAATGTTGGAAATGTATGTTGCTTCATAGCAGCAATCATTTGCATTCCTGTGTGTGTGAATGATATGCCAGATCCACTGAGATGTTCTTTGACATCATAACTGGGAGAGAACAATGGACAGCCATTGTTATCCATTGACTGCATGGATTTATTGGGAATATCTGCTGACTGTGGCCTTCAGCTGGGGTGGAATGTAACTAAGAACATTTACTCAAGTATTATTTGTAATATCTTTAATAGATTTTAAGTGTCAAAATGAAATGTGCATCTTTTTATTTTCCCTTACCTCATGTCTTTGCCTCATCAGGTAACGACCTCTTCCTGGTTGCAGTCCATGAGCTGGGCCACGCCCTTGGTTTAGAGCATTCCAACAACCCACTGGCCATCATGGCTCCCTTTTACCAGTGGATGGAGACGGAGAATTTCCAATTGCCAGATGACGACCTGCGAGGCATCCAGCAGATCTATGGTAGGAGGGTTTTTGGAAGACCAGGGGCCTCATTTATAAAGGGATATACGCTAAAAAAATGGCGTACGCCAGTTTCTACGCAATGTTTGCGATTTATAAAATACTAACTTGACGGGAAAATGTGCGGTCCTCCACGCAAACTCTAACCCATGCGTACGCACTAAGCACAACAACGGGAGAGACGAGAAACTGCGACACCGTTGGCAGAAGGAAGAATGGAGAGAAATATGTGGAAATAATACCATAAATAAAATGTTACCTCTCATTTATCATATATGAAGAATTCATTTTCAAACATTGATTAAAGCCAATCTTAAAATGATTAAACAAACGCCTGTTTGCGACTCCTCAGTGCACACAAAAACATAACTTGGAGAAATAAATAAATACGGATATGTTATTTAAAACCACCTCGAATATGTTGTGTTAATGTTATGAAATGTTTTCTCATAAATGATGCGGTAAGCAGGAGGACAGAATTACGTCTAAACTGACGCCGTTTTGCATTTCTATAGGTAGATACGAGCATGGTTTTATATACTATCATGTTTAATCGTGTTTTATGCCGTTTGCCAAGACTTGATAAGTCACTCGTAAAACACAGGAGGTATGGAAGCTAAGAACACCATATGTGGTAAATTGTACAGCTAATATAACACAACACATTGGTTGTATTTCCTTTAACTGGTGGATATAGAGTTGCTGCAGTGGAGACGCTGCGCACAGCTGATCGACAGCTGGAACACAAACCACCAAATACAAAAACATAATTCAGATCCAGTCGTCATGACTCCACACCGGAGGGATTCCCCGATCATTTCTTACAGTCTCTCATCAAGGGGGTGTCTCCTGTCCCCGGTACAAACACACTGCCTGAGGAAGCCTATGTGTATTTATTTTGTCATTAACCTTTTTCGGACCACTCATTTATTTATGTTGGTGACGATCCGACCTCCATGCTGCTACTCTGGTTCAAACTGCATCCACCAAACAATGTGATTTATCTCGACCTCCCCAAAATAACCCAAATCTGACACGGTATGAGATGTCTTTTTTAGCTGTTCTGCCGTCATTTCCTGCGATCTTCTTCATAAAGTCAGTCTGAATGAATGAATGAATGAATGGGCGTTTCTTTGACTATTTATAGGCAAATATGGGCGTTACGTGAAGCCCGCAAAAGCTGCACCGCATTTCGAGTTGATTGTGATTTATAAAGGGAAACCGGCGTAGGAAGTGCTGTACGCACTTTCCTCGCCGGTACGCAATGTTCGGTGAATCGGAAAATGGCGGAAAATGTATGGACCTATTTTTCGGATTTCTACTACGTAAGCAACCTTCCCACGTGAATCCTACGCACGGCGTTATAAATGAGGCCCCTGGGCATAGAATCCTTGCTGTTTTTCAATCATGATATGATAGTTTGCGCCATCTATAAAATGTAATACATATTTTTACATAAATGTTTTTCAACAACACAACCACCGCTCTCTCTGACACATTTTTCTTTTTATTTCGATACAAAATCCATTCCCAACATATGACGTCTTCACTATTTGCATAAGGCACATGGTAAAAGGCACACTCAGGACAACACACTCAAAAACACGGTCACGCACTGCAAATACCTGACAGTTCAATTCTTGCTGGACATCTGTAAAATAATCACTCAAAATATTATTATCAATAGGGGAAAAAACTCAATTATTCAATACAGGTGCTGCAAATTGGACCATACCATGTACTGCATGGGCATGGGTGACAATCATTTATTATACATTAAAAAGTCATTGTTAGGGCTTTAATTGTTAAAAAAAGTAGCATATGATGACTTCTTTGATTTATTGTGTTTAATAATTTTAAGATACCTTTCTAATTTTGGACTGGACGTGTGGTCATTTACATTTTTCACATTTTTTCTGTAAATAAAAGCATGTAAATATATGTTATTGCGACTCAAGCCATCTTATACATTGTCTTAGTAATTACCAACACGTTTTGTGTAACATATGGTGTCTGAATTGGGATAGCTTTCCTTGGCGCAGACTCATCATCAGTAGAGTCGTCCAAATCCACGGCCACATTAAGGCCACCACCTTTTTCTACAGGCATGGTGATTACAGAGCGCTCAATATCCACAGTCACGTTCAAGCAAGCAGCAGCCTTCTGTAATAGGTCAACTTCATTATTCTGGGAAACATTATTTTTACTGAGGGTTAGATGATAACCTTGTTAACACTCAGCGATGGTTAGCTTAGTCACCAAAAATGAACAACAAATTCATTTTACACCATTCCTAATTTAATTTTAAGTGTTGATTTATAATTGTTGTATTTGATCCAATATATTTACCCCCATCTGGTTGTCCCTGCAGGTCAGCAGAACAGCAGCCCCACCGTGGCCCTGCCCACCGTGACGCCTCGTCGCCCGGAGCCCCGCCCCCCACAAACTCCCCCCCGTCATCCTGACCACCCCAGGACCACTGAGAGACCGGATCACTACGGGCCCAATATCTGTGAAGGGAACTTTGACTCTGTGGCCATGCTCCGAGGGGAGATGTTTGTTTTCAAGGTAAATTGGAATGCTATCTTCAGGCTCTGCCATAGCCTGCTAACTTGATCTAAGTTTGAACATAAAACATAAGGAGAGATATGCGAACCTTCGCAGAGCTTTATTACATGTCCTTGCTTGGAAATTCAATCGACTTCCAGCAGAGGAACTGTCCTGACAACTTAACTGTGTCAATACATTAGTTATTATTTTCTGTGGAATCACTTTGAGACAAATGGCGTGTGCACTGCCAACAAGGCGTCTGTTTTCAATCCGGTCCTTGTGGATTGTAAACCAACAGGCCAGTGCAGTGTTTTTTATGAGGCAGAACACTGTTAAAGGGTGGGGTGCGGTCAGGTGTTTGTCTTAAAGAGCCTCTGGACCCACACTAAACATTCAATAAGCGCTGAAGCAGCAGTTGGCCATTAACTGGGTTTTACCTGATGTTCTACAAGTACCGGTCAGTGCACTGCTGTTGCTGTCAGCTGGGTTGTATGATCTATTAAATATTTAAGATATTTCTATATTATGCAACTCCGTCCTGGGTTAATGTGTTATTATACATCTGCAAATGATTTTCCTTTATCCTGGGGGTAGTGGTTCTTGGTCAGAGTTGATGATGCAACACATTTATTTGGTCATTTTCAAAGTTACATTTCAGCAACCTCGTGTGTGTTTTCTCCTCTTCATAATGTGTTCAGTGATGCTTTATACATAGCAGCTCTGCAAAGATAAGTAATAATCAGTTTCAGTGGGGGAGGTCAGAGGGGGGTGTCCCGTGCTGGCAGCGTTGAAGAGGTTGGCAGATATTAGACGGGACGGAGAACACCCAGGGTTCACTGTAATGGAGCTTCTGCTTTACTTTCAGAAATGTTGTCATGATATCTGAAATGTTGGGGCCACAGTAGGGATTTAAATTGCTGAACATATCCAACAGTATCAAACTATCAACCACATCTTGAATTATGTTCCACGTTAACAGTTTGACATGTCATCGGCGAAATATAAAACTACTAAGATCTGAAAATGAAAAAACAGATACAGATGAGCTCTGGGCATTATTGCGTTCGTAAAAAGTCACTCTTAGCGTAGGAGCGCATTTGCACAAAGGTGATTGTTCATGAACTCAGAGAACTTACTCTCATGCTGTATTCACATGATATGCAATTTGCTCTTTGCTCAATGCGATTTTGGCATAGCCTTGCAGTGAAAACAGCCAGCTAAGATTGGTCTTTATGCTTACCTCCCTTGCTAGCTTCTGCTGTTTCATAGCTGTCATCTGATTGGTTGCAGTTTGAAAGGTTAGCGGTAAACAAGGTCAAAGATGAAGTAATTTGACCTTTGAGTGCAGCGCGAGGCTAAGGCTAGTCAGTCTGCAACACTGTTTCCATAGAAACACAACAGCAACGTCACTGCAGAGCTGTTTTACCGCGTATCATGTAAATGCAGCTTGAGTTTGCTAGCTAACTTTAGCTTTAGCCTATTATACAAACAATTGAATCATGTGTCATCATAATCATCTCTTACATTGTCATCCTCACTGGCAGTCTGGCACTATATATGTTTTATTATAAATCAATAGAAATATTTTTCTTTCATGCATTTGAACTAAGCTCTTCGCTAATACATGTAGAACAGAACGCTTCGCTTTGAACAATGCTCTCATTTGATTGGATAAACGAATGCACACATTATTTTGGCAAAGTATAATATAGCAGAGCCGTGTCTGTGAATCTGCTATCTTTGACTCTTAAGTGTTTCAGACACTGACCAGTGAGTCTGGACGTCCAACTGCCTGGACAAGTGCTGCACACGGTCAAACGGTTGTGTCTGTGCTCTTGGGTTTCATCTCAGACAGTCATGTCTCTGTGCTTGGGTTTCATGAAGCTAGTCTGGATAGCCTTAATCACTGTCCCAAATTAACTTTGTCCATGCCCACCAGTGGTTCTTAAACTTTGTCTTGATCCGAGTAGATCCAGACAAGATGCAATCAGTATAATTACCATGTCCTGGGCAAACAATTATATTTTATTAAACAAAATTAAATAGGGGAATCCATCATGGCTAATTATTTTGTTATGTAATTTTATTGGATATATTTCGTTTTTTATTTTCAAGCAGTGTGGCTCTATAGAGACTGAAATATCTCAACAGGCAAAAATCTAGATTTTTGGCTGTTTTTGCCATATAGATTGCCATAACATCTTGTACAGACATTCGTGGTCCCCAGAAGAAGAATCTTAATTACGTTGGCGACCCCCTGATTTCTCCTGTAGTGCCACCAGCAGCAGCTTTCCTTTTTCTTTTAGGGAAATGTCCCAACAAGTAGCGGCTGGACTGGATTCATCTGACATTCATTAGAACACCCTTCTTCCAATTCTCTGGTTTATGGCGGCAAAGCGAAATGTGCACATTTAAGTGGGCGGCAATCCCTTATTACCAATACCATAGCGAAATAATACGCATCCCCCCGTTGAAAAGACTGGAAATGCTGCTACCTTGTGTCTCCTTTTTTGTCTTCTTTGAAGTCTAGATGGTCCTATATTCCAAAAGTGTGTAGGAAAAGACAAAGACAGACACGTGAAGTATACACGTCAGATGTATATTTTCCCAAAATGTTGTTGACTGATATTGAGCACTTGAGTTGTGACACATTTATTTTGGTTCTCCTCCTGTGAATTTGGAAGTAGTGCCCCCTCCACTATTATGCAAAGTAGAAATGGTTCTTCTCTGATATAACTATGCACAGGAAAAACGACTTACTGAATGCACTGTGAGTGGGAGTAATCTGTAGCACATCAGTGCCACTTTCTCCACAGTTCATTCAAATAAGAAAGGAGCTGTCATTGTATTCACTTTGCTCACAGCAGAGGGCTGGATCTGCAGAGCTCAATATTCAAACTCCCACTCTGAGATCTGTTCTGCTGAGGACTAATATGGTCAACTCCGTCTTAATCTGGTCAACACAAAGCGGCTGTCAGGCCACACAAACCGAAACGCATGCAGTGTGTTCGGCCTTTCGCTCCGCTCTCCCATCCAATCTCCTTTCTATTCCATCCCGTGCCGCGCCGCCTTGTCTGCCAGCGTGTCCTACGTGAAGGACATAACTAGGTGTGCTTGCCAGAAAGAAGCAGCACTGAGCATTTTGCTGTTACATTATCCAGGACAAGCAGGGATACTGACTCACCACTCATGAATGAGTCTGAGGGCTGCTGGTGTAAATCTGCCTGCCGGCCTGTGTGCACAGCATACAGAGTATATGAATGTCCTTAGGATCAAATGTGCTATTGTACTGCTTTGTGCTGCTGCCTTGATATTGAAATCACTCTATAAAAGTGACTGTATCAGGCTGTGATCAACAGAGAGTGCAACATGAAGACCTGAAGAGCCACCGGAGCGGAAACTGACTATTATTAGCCTGCCAGGGTTCCACTATTGTTAGTTTAGTGCACGCTCTGGTTCAGTTCTGCTGCAGACTGCTTGGTGAAACAGCTTCTAACAGCAGCAAAACACTTCATATTCCTGTGCATATGCATGTTTTGAAAAGGCTAAAGGAAATATTTAGTTTGAGATATGAAGCCCTATGTTTCGAACTTATTTGGGCATTGGTTTGCGCTTTGAGTAACAGGAATAAAAAAAAAGAAGCAACAACAGAGTCTTTTAAGCATACAATAAGAAGTGATGCACTCTCAAACATACGTGTGTCCCCCCTCAGGGTCGGTGGTTCTGGCGCGTGCGCAGGAACAGGGTCCTGGATAACTACCCCATGCCCATCGGTCACTTCTGGAGGGGGCTGCCTGGAGACATAGACTCTGCCTACGAGAGACACGACGGCAGGTTCGTCTTCTTTAAAGGTAAGCAACAAATACACACTCACATTTTCAGAATCAGGGATTGAATTATCCCCTGGGGAAATATTATAAAATATAATACAAACATAGGTAAGATAAGTGCCAGCATATTGAGTGCCTGACGCTCAGTTAAACAGTCTGATGCGCACAGGCAGGAATGAAGTTGTGTGGCGCTCTGTGGTGCTTCTAGGGGGAAGGAGTCGTTCACTGAAGAACATCTCTCACTAGCTGGCCCAGTATGTTATTCAACATACATCCAAGAGGCTGTTTTTTTGGGCCCAGCTTACGCAATCTTCAAGGCTCCATAACCATACCCATTTCAGATATGTATTTTCGCAACGCCCGGACAAATCCCAAGTACCCCAAAAATGCAATCAAAAAGGTCAAATACAGATAATATATGAAAAAAAGAATCCAATCACTTTCAATTACAGGCTGATTTCTGTGCTTTGTACTTAAGTCTCTACTAAATATTTGATGTGGATTCTTCTCAAATAATGATTGACCTTTAGCTATGGTCGCTTTGTGTTTTAATGACTGGCCTTGTATCATTTTGCCTGGCTTCTTATGCTGTTGTAAGGTAGCTTCTCGCAACAGATGTTACATTCTAGCCAAAATACTTAAATGAAACCAAAGTTAAGGTAACTCCAGCTATAGCTTTAGTAATACCGATGAGTCATCATCACTTTGTTTCTCAGACTTTCTGTTCTATTCTTAAAATAGTGATGCTCTGACTGCAGGTACAATGAGGAATATCTGTCATCTAGTTGACGTGACACAAGGGAATGAGAGCACTGGTGACTGAGGTGTAGCCTAATAAGTATTTTTGAGAAAGGACATAAAACATTTTTAGTAGCTATATACAGAATTGTGTATCACTTATCCGGTACGTTTCTAATTGATATGATTTAATCAAATCTGACTTCCTAGAGCCAAGAGAAGACACATCATGGTACACACCCTTTGATATAGAACAAACGTTTTTTTAAATACATTTTTGATTTGCATCAAAGCTTTTACGTTTTTACAAAAGTGGTCAGAATTGGAAGCTGGACTATACTTCTCTTATCCTCCTTTGCTAACTGTCCTTCAGGGAATGAACATACATGTCTCTGGCTATTGCTGCTGTAAAAACAGGCCTGGGCCAGTTCTAAATAATCTTCTTTTGGTATTATTAACCGTCACATTTGGAGCATGACAAGACGTCCAGATTAGCAACAACAGACTTTGAGAATATACCCAATTCTGAAATGAGGCTCCAAGCTTGAGAGTAACATTCAGTCTGCTATGCTTAAGTAGCAACAATGACAAACAAATCCAGTGTTTGGATTCAGTTTCCAATGAAGCAGCACTGTGTACTCTTCCATGCTAATACTCTTCCATGCTAATACTCTTCCATGCTAATACTCTTCCATGCTAATACTCTTCCATGCTAATACTCTTCCATGCTAATACTCTTCCATGCTAATACTCTTCCATGCTAATACTCTTCCATGCTAATACTCTTCCATGCAAATACTCTTCCATGCTAATACTCTTCCATGCTAATACTCTTCCATGCTAATACCCTTCCATGCAAATACTCTTCCATGCTAATACTCTTCCATGCTAATACTCTTCTATGCTAATACTCTTCCATGCTAATACTCTTCCATGCTAATACTCTTCCATGCTAATACTCTTCCATGCTAATACTCTTCCATGCTAATACTCTTCCATGCTAATACTCTTCCATGCTAATACTCTTCCATGCTAATACTCTTCCATGCAAATACTCTTCCATGCAAATACTCTTCCATGCTAATACTCTTCCATGCTAATACTCTTCCATGCTAATACTCTTCCATGCTAATACCCTTCCATGCTAATACTCTTCCATGCTAATACTCTTCCATGCAAATACTCTTCCATGCTAATACAAATCATAGTTGGATTCACTGGAAGCTTTGGTAAAACACACAATCCAGCTTTTATCGTATACGTTAGTCTGACTTGCAGCAGCATGTCAGCTCCTAAAGGTCAAATATGTATCAAGAGCATATGAAATATAAGTATTTCCTTTGACTTAAGTATTAACTCCTGCATTGAAATCATGCCCATATAGTTTCTTCTTTACAAACTCTAAACATTATTCATCCTCCATAGTCATTTTAAACCATCAAGTCTGTCATAGTTCAACTATAAAGCAAATCGCAGAACTTTTTTCATCATCTTCAGATTATGAAAATAATAAACATGCCCCCAACTCCTCGAATAAAGTACATCATGCATTCTACATGCAGAGCATACATCTCTTTTGGAACAGATCATTAATGCACTGTGAGTCACTGAGTGTTTTACAGCGGTGGATAAAGTTAGTTGAAGGAAAAAGAAAAGAAGCAGTGTTTGATACAGCTTGACTCTGCTCAGCTGCTGGCTTTGGGGCAGCTGCTGATGATGAGGAGGAGGAGGATGATGTCATCGGCAAGGCTCTCTGTGTGACACTTGGCTGCGAGCCATTAGCGAAGGAAGAACAAGAGAAGTGCAGAGGAAGGAAATAAAAAGGAAGGAAGCAAGAACTGAGAGCACAGGAGAAGGAGAGACAAACACAGCTGAAGATAAGACCTTTAAATGGGTCATAGCAGTCCAGAACTAGAAGGACCATCGAGCCTGAAGAGAGGCTGAAGACTCCTTTATCAATACTTGTTCTTTTGTTGGACTTGTGACCTTTGCTTAGCTAAAAGTGTTCAAAAGTACTCTTGATTTTGGAGAATGGTTAAAGATATTATTCTTAATTTTGGGAAGTGGTGGAAAAAGACTAAACCTTGTGGCTGATGCTGCTAAGATACCTGAAATCCCCTCCCGGGATCAAAAAGGGTTTATCTTAAAGGCAAATGCAAAAACTAATCTAAGAAACAATGCTGCGAAAACTGGACTGCCTGATTCTCCATACTTAAGGAAACAACAAAAATACACTAAGACATATTAAAGAGCAAAATCCTTTACTAAGGCTGAATGAGTGCTGCAGAGTCTGACAGCACAGAGACAAAGAGAGACCCTTCTCTCAAGCATTCCCTTTATGTCAGTGATGAGTGCAGATCAGGAAGACCTGAGCAGAGGAGAGAGAGAGAACAACAAGGGGAGAGCTTTACAGTCCCCAGCAATGCACCCGCCAAGTGCATTCAGATGGATGGTTCTCATGATATGAACAAACATACATAGATATTCCTTAGTCTATAGTTAAAGGGGCCCTCGTATGCTCATTTTCAAGTTCATATTTGTATTTTGTGCCTCTACTGTGACATATTTACATTCTTTTATGCTCAAAACCTTCTCATACTGCCTGTGCTGCAGCGCCTCTTCTCACCCTCTGTGGAGCAGTAGTGATTGTAGTCTTGTACAGACCGTTAACAGGCACAACAATCAATATAATACAGAATAGAAAAGAGAAAACCCGAAAAAGCATGATATGGCTTCTTTAAAAAATACTTACTTGTTTTCTCTGACATTCTGAGTGTCAGCTCACAAGGCAAGCTAGCTCTAGCAGGTCTAAGTAGATCATAATAATGTCTTCAGTAATCCATAGTAAAAATGAATACTCTTTGTAAATAAAGGCAGTTCATTAATGACAACCTATTTGTTAAGTTGCAAAAACACAGTTCATATTTGTACAAATAGTCTTACTGATATAGTGATGTCAACAATAACTTGTTGTTCTAATTGTAAATGAAGTATCCTTCTGTTAATGTTGGGAAATTGAATAGCAATTTGGGACTGTGGACCTTAGGAAGACCTACAGGGAATATATGAAACAACGACCACTTCATGGACTCATGTTCTAAAAGTTGTAGTCCAGACAGAACATATCCATCCATTTAAGTGAGTCCCTTTAGAACAGTTACACAGCAGGAGTAGAATCTATAGGTCACTGAATCCCTGGAAAGTCTTGGAATAAGTCATAGGATTTTACTCTAAGTCGTGTGCACCGCAGGAACACTGGAAGCATTGCGTCAACCTCTCGTTCTCTCCAGATGCTGAGTGTAGAGCTTTCGTTTTAAAAAGGGAGCAAGGGGCCAGAGGTGGGTGGATAGATGGGTGGGTATGAGGGGGGGAGATGGAGGGAAAGGTGGATTGAAGCCAAGAGGAGAGATGTAACAGTGCCAAGAGGAACGGAGTCCCCCTGTCTGACACAGTAAAACAATATAACCCTGCCTTAGGCGAGAAACCTGCTTCAGCCTGACATGAGACATGCCGCTGCTAATGGGTCGTTACGAGCTAAACCAGCAGTCAATGATACACTCGTGTTTTCTGATATCTTGCCAGCAAATCATTATAACATTCATAGAATTTACAAGCTCTGGTTTGGTTTCTCTGATTGTTCTCTTTTTATTCCTCATTTATTTTCAATTATTTAACACATTCCGTGCCAGAAGATACAATGTGCGTGCATAAGCAGCATTTGTAGGGCTACATCTGTTCTTGGATGTGTGTGTAACCGAGTGAACATGACATATACAGTATGATTGTGTGTGTGCTCACATTTTCCAGAGTCCATAAGGTTTGTGAGTGGGGGTGGATAGGGAATGTACAGATGTATGGGCCATATAGGATCATTAAACACTCCTCTCCTCTCATCTCCTCAGGAACCAGATTCTGGCTCTTCAGGGAGGCTAACTTGGAACAGGGCTATCCAATGGAACTGGTTGATTATGGCCTAGGTATTCCCTATGACCGAATAGACACAGCCATCTGGTGGGAGCCATCCGGCTACACCTACTTCTTCCAAGGAGACAGGTAATGTAGCCTGCAACCAGCCAGACTCACACACATTGCTCTAAATCACCTGCCTCCAACGATATTAATAGAGCAGCTATATGATAGACAGACATTCATACCTCACTCTGGGTTAATCATTTTAGAGACATTTTATCTGGTTTCATTATCAGGTTTCAATTTGTCCAATGTTTTTGGTTTATGACCTGACATTTACTTCAGTGTAGTGCTGTTTTTGTTACTCAATGATTACATATTTGGTCCATGTCCTACGATAAGACGATGAGAAGAAGGCACAGAGTTCAACACTCACTGTGACTTTATCCAAATTAAACATTGTTGATGAAAAAGGACATGAAGGACAAAATGTAGTTAAACGCTTTTGTCACATCTCTCTCTATGCTCCTTTCGTTATCCTGTGTTGCATGCCGTTAGCTCTATCATTTTTCCAACCTATTCAAATTTCAGTCAGCCTAAACACCAGCACCAGGTATCACAGCTCGCTGAGGACCAGCTGATTCTGGACCGTCCAGACTCCACTCTAGATACAAAAAAAGAAAAAAAAGTCTGTTGCTGCCGTTCAGCGGTGGGGTTTGCGCTAACTGGATTTGCATTGCGACAACACTGACATATTTTTGGATAAAGAAAATGGTGATATTTTGGCTAGAGTAGATTTAAATGGAAGTAGACTGTATTGTATTCTGAAAACTAAAATAGTTTTCCAATCACTCAAATTATGCTAAAACAGTTAGAAATGTAGTCAATCAAGACCTGATTTAAAAAACAGATGAGATTGACCAAGTATGATTTATAACAACATTTGACACAGTACTGATACTAAATAAAAGAAAAGCTGACAAGTAACGCAACATTAACCTCAGCTATAGCCTACTCCGTGTCAGCTGCAGTATGTTGGCATGCTAACATGTTAAAATAAGACATGGTAAACATCATACATGGAAACATCAGTATGAAAGCATTACTAATCCGAGCATGTTAAGGTTAACATTTAGTTTAAAGCATTATCAAGCCTTAGTACAACTTCACAGGTATGACTTATTAAACCATAACCACTGTTGCCCTTTAACTCAAACTTTTCCAATTTAGAAAATAAGTTCACTTGATGAAGTACAGTGTCAATGTTTTGAATCTAGATGGAGTTTTTGTGTTTGTTTCCATATAAAGACTCAAATGACTGAGATCACTGGACCAATTTATGTTACAGCAATGCCCTATGAGTAATACACTTTACCAGAGGAAAAGCAGCAGCTGACATACTGAACCCACTTCTGCTAACAATAAATGCAAGGGTAACATGTTCGTTGTGGCCAGAGATTTTAACACCGCTAACATGAAGAAGGTCCTTCCGAAGTACTATCAACACATCAGCTGCCCGCCGCGCGGGGGAAACATACTGGACCATGTTTATTCCCCTTTTCGACATGGATATAAGGCTCTACCTCGCCCTCCCTTCGGCAAATCAGACCACATCTCACTGCTGCTGCTGCTGCCTGCCAGGCAGAAACTAAAATGGGACAGACCGGTAACGAGTGGCGCGTTCACACCGGAGTACTTTTACCCGTACTTTTCCCGTTTAGTACCAAAAAAAGTACCAATTTCGATTGGCTGGGCGAATTGTAAACCACGCCCCGTAAAACTCTGAAAAGTTTTGTGAAGCCGCCATTGTATTTGCTGGCATTAGCATTATTAGCATTAGCATTAGCCCCGCACATCAACGGAGAGAGAATAACTTATGGCAACACAAAAAAAAATATGGGAGCGGTGGAGATTTGGAGGTGTCGGCGTTCTGGCGATTTACTCGGGAGTCCCAGCAGCTTCTACTGAAGCCAGACCCCAACCCCGGGGACTTCCGGCCGGGAACTTCGGGTGGCAGTATACGCCGTGAAGTGGTTAGTGGCCTGCCAGTAAACCCAAAGCAGAAGAAGTGACGTCAGCGGCTTCATTTGCGTAATCTTCCCTCAGGGAACTTATTCCGGTGTGAACGCGATCTGTACTTAGTTCCATGGGGGTACTAAGTACTGGCACTAAGTGCTGGGCACTAAGTACGGCAAAGTACTTGGTGTGAAAGCGGCTAAAGACAGTACAGCGATGGAGTGACGAGTCAGATTCAGCTCTGCAGGATTGCTTTGCATCTAGGGATTGGAGTGTGTTTGAGGGCAATAACATCAACACACACACACGGACACAGTCATCTGCTACATTGGGAAATGCATCGATGACCTGGTACCGAAGGTTTCTGTACGAACATTCCCAAATCAAAAGCTCTGGATAAACAGCGAGGTGCGTACCAAGCTGAAAGCGCGCACTATCGCGCATAGAGCTGGAGATTTGGAGGAGTTCAGGAATTCTAGGTATGAACTCCGGAGAACTATCAGCAGTGCAAAGAGACAGTACAAAGAGAAGGTGGAATCTGACTTCAAAGGCTGTAACACCCGGAACATGTGGGCGTGACTAAGAACAATGACAGACTACAAAGGAGCAGCGGGGGGTGCTGTGCGAGTGTCTGCATGCGCATCTCTCCCAGATGAGCTGAACAGTTTTTTTGCTCGCTTAGAGAGTAGCCAGGCTGTGGAGGCAGAGAAGGATCAGGAGCCCTGCCCTTTTGTTTTAAACTGGACAGATGTGTGTCAATCCTTTAAAAGGCTTAACCCACACAAGGCTCCTGGACCTGATGGCATCCCTGGCCGTGTTCTCAGGGTGTGTGCAGGTCAGCTGGCAGAGGTGTTCACAGACATCTTCAACAGGTGCCTGCTGCAGTCTGTAGTCCCCACATGCTTCAAATACTCCACCAGCGTTCCTGTCTCCAAAAAGACAAAAATCACCAGCCTCAATGACTACCGCCCAGTAGCACTCACCTCCATCATAATGAAGTGCTTTGAGCGGTTAGTCAAAACCTTCATCACCTCCTCCCTCCCTGACTCTCTGGACCCCCTGCAGTTTGCCTACAGAGCAAACAGGTCCACAGACGACGCCATAGCCCTCACCATCCACACTGCCCTCTCACACCTGGACCAGAGGAACACATATGTGACAATGCTGTTCATTGATTACAGTTCAGCCTTCAACACCATTGTGCCCTCAAAGCTGGTCATCAAGCTCAGAGACCTCGGACTCAACAGTGCCCTCTGTGACTGGATCCTGAACTTCCTGACGGGCAGACCCCAGGCAGTGCGGGTGGGAAACATCACATCCTCCACACTGATCCTCAACACCGGAGCCCCTCAAGGCTGCGTGCTCAGCCTTCTCCTCTACTCCCTGACATGGACTCTTCACACCACCACCATCACCAAAACAGCTCGACAGCGGCTCTTCTTCCTCCGCAGGCTAAGGAGCTTCAACATGGACTCCAGGATACTCTGCAACTTCTACAGGTAGAGAGGATAGATACATAGAGAGGATCCTGACCTTCTACAGGTGCACCATAGAGAGTATCCTGACTGGCTGCATCACGTCCTGGTACGGCAGCTGCACCGCCCTCAATCGTAAAGCTTTACAGAGGGTGGTGAAAACTGCACAGAACATCACCAGGACGGAGCTGCCATCCATGGAGGACCTTTACTCCCAGCGGCTCAGGAAGAAAGCCCTCAGGATTATCAAAGACCCCCATCACCCCAGCCACAAACTGTTCTGTCTGCTGCCGTCTGGCAGGAGGTACCGCAGCATCCGGACTAAAACCACCAGACTCAGAGACAGTTTCATCCCACAGGCAATAAGACTGTTAAACACCTGAACTGTTGAAACAACATCCATTACGTTCATCTGCTACTTAGTAATTATTTATCTATTTATCTAATATATCGCATTGAACTATTTCACTATTTCGCTTTTTTAAACTATTTTTCTTTTTGTATTTACTATTTACTATTTAATTGCACTATATTTTTCTGTTTATCTGTTTTATTGTGTTGCACTGTTGGAGGAGCCTGTGACCTAAGATTTTCATCGGCATAACTACACTGTAGCTATGTTCGTAGGACAAAATAAAGAACCTTGAACCTTGAACCTTGAACCTTTATTTAAGTAGAAACATAGTTACACTTAAGGTCTGTATTTTGAAAGAGACCTTACTCACTGTCTTTTTGTAGTTTCACTAGTGCATTACCAGTAAGGACAGTTATTATACACACACACACCATGCACTGCACTTTGTAAGAATTCTGCTCTTTACTTGTTTAGACAGTTACAGTAACAACTGGTTCTGACTGCTGTCTGCAGGTACTGGCGCTTCAACGAGCAGTCCCGCCACACGGACCAAGGATACCCGAAATCAATCAGCGTCTGGGGATCCTCAGTACCCTCCTCCCCCAAAGGGGCCTTCCTCAGCGATGATGGAGGTGAGCTCACTCAAGAAGAGTGGTTGTATTGAATGTGAATGTGTGTTTGAGTGTGTGTGCGTGTCTGTGTATGTGTGAAAAAGCCAGAAAGGGCTGGGGCCCACTGATGCATGGAACAAAGAATCAGGGTGTGGTCACACAATCATCAGGAGAGAAAGGGGATGGAGTGTGTGTGTGTGAATTTGAGCACATACATGTGAAGTGCTTTGTGCTTTGCTGTGCTTGGTTACAGTGAAAATAGAGAGGAGTGGTTCGATCTACGGTAGACAGTCGACAAAGCAAGACAACTTTATTTGTATAGCACCTTTTTTTTTTATTGGACATTTCAATGCACTTTATAGGGTTTTACAATAACAGGAAATGTAATGGATTGCAGTGCAAAATCGTATGCACGTGACAAGAGATACACTCAGTAGACATTTTTAAATATACAGCCAATCAATTTAAAGTAAACAAGTTTGCGATTTTTTTAGGTTATGAAAGGACAAGTTTTTGGAATTACATTTATTGGCTTTCTTGCCGAGATATAGATGAGGTGGTTGAGGCCACTTTCATATCAACACTACCGCAAATATGAAGCTATGGCCAGCAGTGACTTGGTTAGCGTAGCTTAGCCTAAAAACTGGAAACAGCTTGCCTTGCTCAGTCTCAAGGCAACATCTATATGCTAAATATACAAAAAAAAAAGGTGTAAAAACGATTTATTTACAGAAGTTGTGTGCAGGGAAAATGATTGCTGTGTCGCCCTAGCCTCCCAGCTGTCTGGCCTTTATGCTAAGCTAATATTCCCTGCTGATGGCTCTAGCTTTGTATAGAGAATGAGTCCTAAAACCTGGAGACGAGTTAGCATTTTACCAAAATTGTTTTGAAAGTGCCTTTGGTTAGATGCCTGAATTAGGGTCTTTGGTTAACGCAAGCCAAAGAGATTTTAACGTTTTGGTCTATGACACAAAATACGTCAGTTAATAACCTATTCCAACATTTCAGAAGCTTCTATGTGTCTTCATAATGGAGGATGCTAACTAGTAACTGAATAAGAAAACTTAACGTCATAACCCAGACACGAGTCAGCCTTTAGCCTAGCCATGCTAATGTGAAGCCATGCGACGTGATGTAGTTTGTTTACAGCTTAACTTTGTTTTATTACTTCTGGTGATTGCATTTACGCTTCAATAATCATAAAAGTGGTGTTATTATGTGGAGGTTATTCTGCTGAACAAAACATGTGATCATCATAAACGTGTGTCTGCCACAGATCTTATTTATTGCAAAATGGAAAAATCCCATAGCTTTTTGCCCTAGTGAAAATCTAAATCACTGCACCACTCTATTGAACCGTCAGATAAGAGTGGTATCAGTCGTACCATCTAATTCTTGGCAAGAGTTGGACATTTTTTAAACTATTCCTTTCATTTGTCCATCTTCAAATCTTCATGTTATTTGACATATTGTGCTCTCCTTGCTTTCTCCAGCGTACACCTTCTTCTACAAGGGTTCCAAGTACTGGAAGTTTGACAACCACCGCATGAAGAGCGAGCCAGGCTACCCCAAGTCCATCTTGAGAGACTTCATGGGCTGCAGTGCGGACCAGGACCCAGACCGAGACACGGAGGCGGACGCGGGGCGCAAATACCCCGACGTGAACCGGCCCCCGTTCAACCCCGACGCAACCGGACGCGACGGAGACAAGGGCAAAGACGGGGATCGTGACGGGACGGACAACGACGCGGGCAAAGGGTCGGACGGCGACAAAGACGAGGACTACCGGGAGGGCCGTGAGGAAGACACCAACGAGGTGGACGTGGTGCTGAAGGTGGACGACAGCGAGGAGCGGACCATGAACATCCTGATGGTGACCATCCCTCTGGCCCTGGTGCTGTGCATCCTGGGACTCGTCTACGCCATCATCAACACGCTGCAGAGCAAAGGGGCTCCACGGCTGCTGGTGCACTGCAAGCGCTCGCTGCAGGACTGGGTCTGACCCTGAACAAGAGCAGAAACTGAACTTTTAACTTAAATTGGAACCTTAGACACTGCGCTCCTCTAATCCATCAGTCTCTGGCAACTCTTAGAACCTGTGGTAGTAGATCCAATACTGTACACAAACACTAGAAGCAAGCATTAATGATGTCTTACTTATACACAAACACACCATCCTAACCTCCTCCTGTCTCCCATGGTGCTCTACAATGCATCAACTGTAGTCTATTTATATGAGAGAAGTTTGCACATTGTTTTTTTTATTATTTCTGTTCATTTTGTGACATTTTGATATAATTATTATTATTTCTAAACCAGGAAGGCTGTTCAATTCTTCGCCTCTTTATATACCGCCTTCCCCCCCTCGTCTAATCTTAGCAGGGTCTTTGTCCTTGCCGATACCTTCATATCTGCTCATGCTATCACAGTCGGCACAAAGAAAATCCAAAGGGTTAGTAAAGAAAAACGGATCACTATGGAAGGGTTCAGTAGATTGTCTTCCCCTTCTCACCGTCTTCTTCTCTATGTCTTCGCCTGGTTCTGCGGTACAGTTTGTCATTTCAGTCTAATACAGTGGTTAAAAGAATCCCTCTAACATGGGGTCTATTTAAAGAAAAAGTGAAATATTGTGGGAAATACACTTATTTGTAAAGGCATTTTTTGTTAGCAAATAGAAATTGTGGCTTGGAAAATATGGCCTAAGTGGAATCAACAGTATCCTTATCCTTTACATTCAGAGTACCGCTGCCTTGTTTTCAGTCTTCATCTATAGCACAATAGGTCTGCCTTCTTTTGTTTCCTTATTCGGAGAGCATTTAAAGTCCTCTTTGGCTGAAAGGCCTCAGACTTTATCTCTTCCTTTAACCATCATTTATGAGGCTAATTCTCAGAGAGCTTCCTTTCTGTCAGCAGAAATATATTTTCTTTGCACAGGAGAAGAGAGAGACTAATGGTCCATTTAAAAAAGTCAGCTCAGTGTGAAATAACACAGGAGAAGTAGCATCTTTGACATAACACCATGGAGAAACAAACGAAGCCCTGGCCTTTAACTCAAGAACAGGAAGCGGTCTGAGGGTGCAGCAATGTACCATGCACTCTGTAATGGACTTTTTACTGCTCGTGCACATGACCTGGGGTCTATCTATTGCAAACACTGGAGCTGTGAGCACCAGGGTGGGCTTGGCTCATGTGAACACAGACTAATCCTGTTCATTAAGAAACAGCAGGTGTGTGCACATGCTGTTAACCCCTGCGACATCTAAACTAAACCTTGAACTCCCAGAAACAAAACACTCTCCTCTCCCTTTTCATCTTGCGGGAAGTGTAGTGTGGGCAGAATACAAATGTCCAATTCAACTACTCATTATAAAAGTAAAAACAAAATATTCCTGGCAGCCATTGGTTTCCATTTATTTTGTAGTGTATAAAAATCACAGACACACAAATGCAAAAATAAGTCACTTACAGTAAGATGCCAATGAAGAGACATAACGCACAAAAAACAAAGTGAAAAATGAATATGAATTAAAAATATAAATGTTCTTAATTTCTGCAACCGCATAGCTTACTCACACTGGGGCTCAGACCTGTTGACCCTTTACATCTGTCCTAAAAATGTATCTAAAAAACATTTTGTATAGACATTGCAACAGGCCAACTTGAAAATCGTATATCATGACAGATCCACACGTTTTTTTGGAGTTCAAATACAGAATGTTGTACTGTAAAGAAATGAATGGAAATCTATGGCTGCCATGGAAACATTAATTGAAGAAAAAAGGCGTAAGAGCAATGTGAATAATCTAATCATTACTCGATGTTCTAGAAAAATCTGATCAATAAGAGTCTAGAAACCGGCCTCAGATGAGAGAGTGTAGGAGTGCAGCTTCAATATGAATGGGAGGAAGCCTTATCTGACGGCGCATTAAGGACCAAGCTGCCAATCTGAGCAGACGGGTCTCAGCCGGATCAGGTTACAGATGTGGACGGGGGGGTGGGGGGGTGGACGGGGGGTGAGGAGACACAAGAGAAAGGGGGGAGGGACGCTGACCTCGTCTCCCTGAGTTCTCACAGCTTGGATCACAGGAATAAGGAGGGGTGAGAGAGAGAGGGAGATAGGGGACTTTGATGGCTCTATTCCACTGGCAACCGCTCATGTGACCCAAATTCTCCTGCTAGCTCAACCGCAGTGCTAGCCAAAGAGGAAACTTTAGCCTACAGGAGGTGACGGCCTTTTGCTGTATGTGCTTAGTAGCTGTGAAGAGACCCCATCACATGTTTAAAAAAGTGCTAAAAATATGAATACATTTGGGAAATATTAAGTGAATCGGGAACTATTATTATATTGATCTCAAAATATTTGATTGACTGATTAAGGACAAAGTTAAATGATTTGACTTCAGCTTTCTAAATCGAATTCTAAAAGTAGTTTCTGTTCTCCTCTACTTTGAGTTGTGGGGAAAAAATTGAAATACCCAGAAAATAAATTACAGATGAATCAACAAAGACAATAAGTAGTTGCAGTGCTAGTTTAAAAACCTGCTTTCCAATTCCAGCTGCGCCTCACAATTTAGCTTCGTCTGCTTTCCTTCAGTGCCAGTCAGACTGTATGTTGACAGACGGTGCGGAAACACAACACCGCACAACACAACACCGTTCTCTTACTTCACCTCCAGCTGCAGGTGCAGACGGGTTGAGGTGGGACACCGCTCAGAAGGAGGTAAAGTTAACAGGACACTCGCTGAGTGGAAGAAAAGGAAGAGCATAATCTTCTGTCACCAGAAGTCTGCAGATTGATCTGTGGCCGGTCAATAGCGGTTGCCAGGAAACAGTGTCCTGTGTCCATCGCTCACCTCCTCTCCATCAGGGTTGGAGGGGGAGGGGGATTGGCGGGCGTAGCTAATCAGTGTTAAAAGCCCCCCCCAAACCCCCTCTGCTTTCTCCTCCCCTGTCCTGCTCTTCCTACAGGCACATCAATGCTTAGACCGCCCCGTGTCTGGACAGGCTCAGAAAATGTCGACTCATTGTATTAGAGGCAACGCTTTGTGTGGAGTTATTATCAGTTCTCCTTTGTGACCTCCACACAGCAAGCCCACATGCAGTTAACCACGTTAAAATGTAAAACGTTAATTGTACTGGCGTTTCTTTACTTTAAACCATATTCTTTTGCCAGTTTGAGAGCTCCTTTTTGGCAGGACACTGACAGGGATTCATTTGTTGTGTTTCAATTTGTGCACTTCTGTACTTAGATGTGCTTTTTAAGTGCACAAGTGCATCCTTTTGCATGGTTTGGCACTTTTAACCGTCAAAAACTGGAATCAAGAAAGCAGATAAAGGTTTTGCTAAGTAAAAGTTATACTTGCAGTACCTTCAGTTCAGTATTTAATAAAGGTAATACTATACTAGTGTCAAAAATGTGCCCCCGTTAATTTTATTGGGTGAATTAGTCTGTAATGATTTGCTACAGAAAACGATTACATTGAGAAGCTAACTAGCTAGCTAGCTAACAGTGATCTTTGCAACTTCCTGTGAGGGTACAGCAGCTGTTTGTGATTTAAGACAACACTACAGGGTAGAAATTCACACAGTGTTCACAGTGCACAACATGCAGTGGACTAAGGAACGTTTCCGAATTGAGACACAGTAATGTTCTTAGGACAGCTAGCAGAAGAGAAATATGGTAAAGGTTCAGAAAGGAAGCAAGGCAGGCTGATTGATGCCTGTTTGTGTGTGTCGAGGTGTTTAGTTAATCAGCTCTACTCTCCATAAGCGAGGCCTGTTCTCTCTGACTGTAAATCTCCCACACTCTCTCTATCTGCCCCCCCCCCCCACTATGCTCAGCCCAGCCCTCCACGCCCCGGGGGATCGTAATAATAACAATGGCCTTCTCTCTCACACACTCTCTCCTCCCCCTATATACTCTCTATAATACACACACACAAACACATTATTGTCTTCCCTAACCTCACCTTCCTTTCGCCTCTCCCACCCCCGATAGGAAACTAGTCAAGGCTAAGACCAAGCCTTTTTTTGTATCCTTGTTCAGCAACTTTGAATACTGTGTTAGGATTTACTTAAAACACTGTACTGTACCTGTCAGGTTTTGAGTCTGCTTTACGCAGACTCAGCAACAGGATGTCACATTCAGATTTCAAGTTGCAAAGGCTGAAGTTCTTTTTATGTTAATTCTCTGTTCGTTTTGAAGTACAGGGCCTTGATGCAAGGTTTAGGTGTGGTGAGGCAATCCCTTGTCTGAGCTTTCATCTCCCTCAGGATGTTTCAGTGAACACTGCGTTTCTCCCTTATTTTGATGAACATCTCTGTTAAAACCTCCTCTTTTCTCTTTTCGTTTTCTTCATGCTATGTCTCTCTACTCCACTTCATCTTCCTGTGGTCAATGTGTGTCCCTGCGCTTCCTAATAACCACAAGCTTCAAACAGTCATTGCATCAGCCCTGTGCAAAGTCTGAACTCAAAGGGAAAAAACCAGATCAATACAAAACGGACTGAGAAGATCAAAGAAAGAAGTAAAACTTCACATACAGTACAACTGTGTTCAGTTTCTCTTCCACTTGGGTCAACTGTGTGGCTTATGATGGCACGAACCCAAAGGATCATGGGTTGTCCAGATGCTTCTCTCTTTTCCCAGAGTGCATCCCACCTTAGCTCGTTAAACCACTCTGAAAACACTCATTTTAAATCACCACAGGCTAATTTATCTCGGTGATGAAACAGACAAAGACATTGAGTGCTGCTTCAGACAGACATGGAAACTGTTGAGCAGCCTGTTGTCCCCCACTAACTGCAGCGACAGTAGATCTTGCTGGATTATTTACTGCCCCTCCATGGTGGAACTCTTCATTACTACCCGAGTAATGCTTCAGTGACTTTTTTGAAAATGTAACCATCATCCCTGACTGGGATGAGATACCAAAAAAAAGCAGCTGTCAAAAATAAAAACAGATGAGATTATTGTTGGTCTTTGATAATTTTTATTTTATTTTATTTCTCAAACTTGATAGGACGTGTTTTTTGTTAATAACATTCCAATTGTTTTTTTTTTGGTTGGTTGTTAGTGGGGTTTTTTCGGTAGAAAATGTAATATTTTATACATTTGTGTTTTTTGTGTGATCACCTCTAGTTGAGTGTGTTAACAAGCCATGCTGGACATGTACACATTAAAAATTGCTCTGAAAATATTTTGGTTTGGTTACTTCGTGTGACTGGTGCTATCTGGAGAGAATGGAGAACTACAATTCTGCACACACACCCTGCGCTCTCTTCCTGCAGTGAGGTCACTGTCCATAGGGCCCTGCTTCCTGTCTCACACGGGACCAGCAGCACAAGTCTTTATAGACCATGATAGAGGGGGGGTCTGGCTGCCTGCCAGGAAGCCACATGAGCGGGGAGGAAGTGAGCAGGCTGCTCGCCTAAAAGAAAGCGACGGGGCAATGGTGTCATCGCACTGAGAAGGAAATGCATTGTTCACAGCACCACAAGGCTAAAGTGTGATGGATTGCATCCAAACACCAAAATTACAGAACAGAGACTGACGGAAAACTTAATGAGATGTTTTTGTGACTTGGAGTAAGATGAAAATGAAGCGACTCACTTCCCGTGGCGGGCGTAATGAGACAAAATTGAAACTGAATGATAGTTATTTTGTCTCCTTCTGAGTCCTTATGATTGATGAATTACATTACATTACATGTTACTTGTTAGACGCTTTTATCCAAAGCGACTTCCATACTCAATACTGTGGACAATTCCCACAGGAGCAATTTGGGGTGAAGTGTCTTGCCCAGGGACACAACGACATGCTGACTGCAGTGGGGTTTGAACCAGTGCTCCCCTGATCCGAACACCAAAGCACTAGGCCACTGCTCCACACGCCTCCCTTGCGGAGGCATCCAGCCGAGGGCGGCAGGCCGTTTGAGAGAAAAGGTGTTTATTACAGGGATGAGAAAAAAGAAAACAACACATGCCATAAGAGGTGACAGGGTCTGTCTGTCTGGCACCTGTGTGAAACATCTCTTGCCGAACATTGGATGGGTAGTAGTTGCATCAATAGCACAGATATCATGCTCCCCTGAAAATAGCTTGCAACTGAAAACGCCTCTATAGGACTCCTTTGTTTGCTTCTGTAACATAGTGACATCACCATGTAACACTCATGCTTCATTTGGCTAGGGATGCAACCAACAAGTCCTCCAACTCATACGACCAAGGTCGATTGTTCAAGCGCCTATTACGACCTATAATCACGTTTTTAAGTTTTCGACCACTAGTGCTCCCGTTGACTGCAAACGCTCCGGAGGGTCGTATATTCACAAATAACCCTCTCTGGAAAATCCTAAATTGTAGGATAGTTTGGCCATTAAAATGCTTTTTGATTAGATTTCTAGCGAGAAGTGTATATTGTACTTTTAGAATTCACGTCCAGTGGAGGATCTATAGTTTGATAGATATTACGAAGATGATTTGAGGTCTCGCCAGGAGAACGTGTATATTATGCGGCAGCGTCCATGTAAAGTTAGCGTCAACCCTCACGGGGTGAAAACAGTATTTCCGGTCTGGAAGTTTTCATAATAAAACCGTATTCCCCTCACTGTCAAATTATTTTAAAGTGATATCTGCACTACTCATCCACGTTTAAATTGTGTACACTGCTTTTGTGTTTTTCCCATAGATTTTTCCCTTTCGATTCTGAGAGACACATTTCTTTTTTCAGAGGTTTTGATAGGCTAAAACAACTACCCATAATCCTCAGCTAACGTTGAAGCTCGGTGATTGGATGTTTTAGCCGCAATGCACGTTGGGATATGGTGTTTATGCGATGTGAAATCCGAAAACATTTAAAAGAAGAAAATAATACTTTATCCCGCGTGTGCTTGCTTTTCTCTTTGAAAGTCATCACATAACGGCATTGGAATACACGGTTCGGCTGCATTACATATTACACATCTGCCGTAGTTCTGTATTTATAGAGCCCTGATTAGAAGACCTTTTGACAAACTGGAAGAAATGCCGCCGAAACTCAATATGTGACTTGCATCATAAATATATCAGCAATTAAACAACATCTTCAATTTCTCTTCACACAATACGTCTCCTTGCAGTATCAATAGTAATTTGGCTGACTTTTATATTTGATCCAATTGGTAGATAGGCTTTATTTACCCCATAACGGTGCACAGCTGATAGAAAAGGTCTTGTAGTTGTTAAAGATATTACTGATTTTCTTTGAATAAGAATGTAAATACTGAGTTGAGGGAGTCAGGGGATTTGTGTGATGGGAGACATCTATGGAATCACAATTTCAATAGCTTACCATTAAATGGCAGATATACCTTTCTGTCTGTGATGTTTTACAAATCAGATATTAATGTGTAGAACTACAATTTGTGAAATATTATAGCAATATCCTGTAAAATTATTTGAAAACATGAATAAAACTACACATCTTCAGATGTTATACATTCATAAGTGTCCTACACTAATAATACAAAGTTATTATGGCATTGTATGATGTGTGTTATTTGTAACATCTTCAGGAACTACCTTTCCAACTCCTCACCAGTTGACTGTTACAGGTCTATACAGGTTCATGGTGCAATGCATAAGCATAAGCTTCAAATCGAGAGACTGAAACTGTATTTTTCTTTATCGTTCTGTTTTAATTTCACAATATAGTTAATAGTAATATTATGTTTGATATTATTATGTTTTATTAACTAGACCACTGGGTCATGTTAAGACCATATTTTCTGTCGGTTTGGTGTTACAAATATCAAAACAATATATGTGTGGATAAAAAAATGAATCCGTCATAAACTAAACTGGAAATTATACTGGAAACTTTGTATAACTTATTGTGTTAACACTGTAAACTTGACAGTTTTTTAACCCGCACCGCCTAGTGGTTAAAGCATGTTATTGAATATGTTGTATTTTATGAACAAATTTAAATATTAAGAGTAGCCTAAATACAACATAGGGGGAAAGTAGAGGGTCAATGATAGAAATATAGAATAGAGTCCAGTTTTGGATAGTCTGCCGTGGTTTCATTCCATTTCAAAGAGCTCGGCGTAACCTTGGCACACTGCCACTCCAACATCCAATCACAGAGGACTAATCACGGGGTTTGTCAAGCAAAGCGGATGTTGTAGTCCCAAACGATAGCTGAGGATTATGGGTAGTGTAGTGTCTTCGGCCATCCTAAACTCCGAAAAAACTATTTGTTTCGCCGAATCGAAGGTTAAAAACACAAAAGCATTGTACACAATTTAAACCAATCAATGTTGTGTAATTAACAAGGATAAACTGATGTTTTTTAGTGGATGAGTAATGCAGATATCACTGTGTAATCACTTGACTGTGAGGGAAATACTTCCGGTTTTATTATGAAAACTTCGAGACCGGAAATACTGTTTTCACCCCGTGAGGGTTGACGCCAACTTTACATGGACGCTGTGGGGAAAGACGTAGTTTATACTCGTTCTCCTGGCGAGACCTCAAATCACCTTCATAATGTCTATCAAACTATAGATATTGTAAAAGTACAATATACACTTCTCGCTAGAAATCAAATCAAAAAGCATTTCAATGGCCAAACTATCCTACAATTTAGGATTTTCCAGAGAGTTATTTGTGAATATACGACCCTCTGGAGCGTTTGCAATCAACGGGAGCATATGCCGCAAATTGTTGTTTCTTACACGACCACCAGAGGTACTACACTTTAAAACGGGACTCTAGCTGCTGAACAATCAACCTATTTGGTCGTTTTTTGGAGGAGAACAGGCTGGCTGCAACACATTGTACGTGATTTGCTAATGAGTGGGATATGTCTAAGCTGTTGACCAATCACAACAGAGCTTGCCAGCTAACCAATCAGAGCAGACTGGGCTCTGGTTTCAGACAGAGGGTGAAAAGATGTGCTGCAGCACAGGCTGTATGAGAAACATAAAGAGCTTTTTGAACATTAAAGCATGGAAACATCTCACAGTGGAGGCACAAAATACAAATATGAACCTGAAAATGGGCATTAAATGTCCTCTTTAAAAGATATACATGTGATTGTCAACAAATTCCATTAACATACAAAAACCTCAAATCATACTGTACATCCATTTTCAATAATTGCAATCATCCCTACCCTGTTGAACTATTCCCGTTTGTTCCTACTAAAGAATCGATTTTTGAAAAATCAGGTCAAGTAAATCATCTTATTTATAAGTCAAATATAAGTATACACATTTTGCAGCATATATTAGGCTGTACCCAGGAAGGATTCACTGGTAATGAATTAACACCCAGTGCAGATGTGTGGTTTATTGGTGAGTTCTGAAAGAAGGGAGCTCAAAGGAATAATATATTAGGCTTTAAATACACTTACTTGCATAAAGTTATTTCTGGTTTTGGTCTTTTAAAAGACTTTAGCATTACTTGCCATACTCCCCGCCCTAACTGATGAGTCTCAAATGTTACACCTTTTTTCCTGCCCACCTTACCAATGTAAGGTTGGTGTCACTCTCTTCATCTGTAGCTGCTAAATGTTGATAAAACAAGCTGAACAGTACTTGAAATGGTCTGTAGAAGTGAAAGGAACTGCTGAGTCAGGTTATCTGTTCCTGATGCATTGTCATTTCAACCACTGTAATTATAAAATATTGATTTCAACTTTTTAAATGATCTTTAGGGTTGAAGGACTCTATTGGAATTCTAGGATTTATTATTATCCACATAATAAATCACATTTTAGAAGGGCCACAATTGCATTCTTTTTTTATTAAAACTTGCACAACATTTTAATATTGTGAAAATGTTTGTAAAATATGTGTTCTGCGTACAGGCAGGGGCGGATCTACGAGAGGGCAAGGGGGGGCAGCTGCCCCCCCCCCCCACTGTAGAGCCTTGCCCCCCCAGCTGCCCCCCTAACTTTTGTTTCCCTAAAACTGTACTAAAACAAACCTACACTATTTCCACAAGCTTCTCAAGCAACAAAACAAGCATTACATTAGTTAAAATTGAATCATTTTAAATATCATTTTAGGCCCGTTAAAAACGCAGCTACGGCCCTGCATTAAACTGCGGAGCGGCGTTCACACAGACCGCGGCTCACACCGCTGCAGAGAGGGAGCGAGCTGTCCCAGCACCTATGGATCAGCTTCCCCTGGGAGCATTTCCCTTTCCACTA